GTCTCGAGGTGCAAGCTTTAGAGGATAAAATTGAGGCATCATTGACCCAGAAATTCCAAGCGCTCAGCGCTGAGCTCGCCCAGGCCAGAATATCGACAAGTGGACCCTCCATCAGCCCTGCCACAGAAGATATGATCACGGAAGTTGTTGGCTTGTTTCGTACCCAGCTTCAGGAGTCTGCTGCTCGTGGCCTCGACGACAGCCAGATGGACGCCCGTGGTGAACTTGACCTTGCGGTCATCCGCGATGTGGTACAACGAGGCCAAGCAGAGGGTCTACTGTTGATACAGACAGAGTTGCGTGAGCTCGTGAAACGCCTCGAGCAAGCTGGACCTATGGGATCATCAACAGATATTGTTGCCACTTTGGAACTGTCGAAGAAGAACACGCAGGTCATTCTTGACAACATTGAGCAGCTGTCGTCACAAATCGACAAACACTCGGCTCCTTTCGCAGACAAGCCTGAACGGTTATCCCTCATTAGTGATCTTGTGGATACTCTGGCACCCACATTTAAGGCTTTGCGACCTGAAGCTGTGGACTATAGTGTCCTCACCGCTCAGCTCAGTCAAGCCGTTAAGCCAAACATCGAACAGTTGATTGACCTCGCAGCCGACAAACGGGAAACTGCCGGTTTGATCGTGGACAGCATCATACCTCTGCTGCCCAAGGTGACGCTGGATACCGGTGAGGTAATTGCCCAAATCACTGCTGAAGTCCGCCGTATCATTGCCCCCATCGATGCGCATGAAATCAAGGAACAAGTGGCTGACCTAGTGGTGGAGCGTCTGGATTCTCGTCTTGCTGTTCGCGACAAGGCTTTCAACGTAGAAGTCGTTTCAGGCAAAGTCACAGAGGGAGTCTCTGGTCTGCTCCGCTCGATCGATGATGTGGTTCCCAAGCTAGATGCTCTGGATGAGGCTCAGCAACTCATTGTCCAGAAGAGCGATGATATTGTCTCAAAACACACTAATCTCCATGCCATTGTCGCCAGCTTCCCTGCTCAACTTGACGATATCAAGTGCGCTATGCAGCTGAGTAATCAAGAGCTGCAAGCCCAAGCATCGTCGCAGAGTATCGAAGAAGTCCTATCAGCTATTCACCGGTTGGAAGATGCTATCGGCTCCCTGGATAGCACTCATCTACCCTCGACACAACACGACGAGCTTCTCTCGATGCACAGGTCCCTCCGCGAGGATCTTTCTGAACGCATGAATGCGCTACCTGAGGCGTTACATGTAGCCGTCAGCGTTCTTCAAACTGCTCATGCTGAGTTTGCAGTCTCTAGGGACGCTTCAAAAAGAGACCAGGAAGAGATCCGTAAACTCAAAGCAGTGAATGCTGAACACCAGGTACAGCTAGCGAAGGCTCGTGGAGCCCATGGCCAAGTCCGAGTGGAAAGAGACAACCTCGCTCAACGCCTCAAAGATGTTGAGTCTGAGAGAGATAGGCTCCGTGCTCAGATTGAAGAACTCCAGAGCACTATCAAAACTCAGAGCACAGATATTGCTGCCATCGGGTCGCGGAATTCTGAACTGGAAGGAGCGCTTTCCCAAAGCCTTGCACGCCTCAAAGCTTCAGATGTTGCAACACATGCCAATCAGGAACGCATTAGCGAGTTGGAGAAGGCGAACAAGGAGGCATTGGCTGAGCAAGCCAACCTCAATTCCAAGGTACATCGCTCTTCTTGTTGGTATCGTTCGTCGTCTGATGGCACGTCAGGTTGGGGAATTGGACGCATCAGTGAAATTTGTAACACAAGAGAAGGCCTTGGCTATGCATACTCTTCAACTCCTCCAGGAAGAGCACGGGCATCTGCTTTCGCAACAGAGCCATTGGGACGACCTCCATCGCGCGGCTGAGCAAATTAGCGTGCTCACTACCCTTATGAACCAGGCTGGCAATGAAGAACTTCAGGAACTCCGACGTACGAGTCGTAGCCTCGAAAGCGAGCACACAGCGCTTCAAAAACGTTTCAGGGAACAGGAACAAAAAAATTCCAATGCTGAACGCACCGCAATCACCGCCAGACAGAACTTGACTCAAGCACAACAGAGGTCCTCTGAGTGGGAGAATCGCGCGAAAGAGTATGAGCATAACTTGGAGATGACACGTACTAGGCTCGACGAGGTGGAGCAAGCTCATGCTCAACTTGATGCGGACTATTCCTTTGCAAAGCTTCAACTGGAAGAAAAGGAAGCAGAGGACCGCTTTGTTAAGGTGGGAATCACAGCAGTTCCGCGTGCTACATTCTGATTGATGTCTAATCTGCAGGACCGAGAGCAAAAGTTACGCGATCAGGTTGCGAACTTTGAAGCTCAAGTTGCTCGGCTTGAGGCTGACCTTTCGAAGGCCAAGGCGACTACCCCATCCATAGCATCATCCTATACCATGATTGGGCATAAACAGTTCCCCCCTCGTCCTGATTCACGTTCAAGTACCGTCTTTTCTGGGGACAGATCAAGTACACCAGTCGCGCAGATGAATGGTTCTCACCGACCTCGTAGCGATACTCCTCCCAGATCGTCTCCGTCCGTTCAAGATTCAATGCATGCACCGCATAAATTTTACCAGCTTGGTTCTGTGGTACCTGCCACTCCTAAGCCTAGGCGACCCATTGGATCATATCGACCTCAATCTGTGGTCTCGTTCACTTCTCAACACTCCTTGCGGTCAGTCGCGTCTCCGACGCCAAGTACAATCTCAATTGTACCGGATGACGACGGCTGGTACTCGTAAATTAATTCGATACAATCTTCATTTGCTCAACCTCATGATATCCTGATCTAATCGATGATGGCCTTGCTTTTCAGCCGTAGTCTACCGCATTTCCTTTTCTATATATTCACTCATGTTCACATCTGGTACTCTCATTGGATCCATCGGTGTATATATACCCTTCAATTTTTGCTACAGGTACAATCCAACGGATGCGCATTATGTTACAACTGCGTGGGATAAAATGTAAATGTGATGGAAGACACAAGCAAAGCAAAAGCAGATAAACGTCAAGATGAAAAGGTATATGTCAGGTCAACGCTATTCTGCCGTAGGAGGCCATATCCAGGTTTGCACTGCATCTATAGCTTCAGAAGAATCATCTCGAGGAATCCTAGAAGAGGCATCAGAGAGGTCATGCAGAAGCGTGCAAGACTGCATTACTCGAGTTTAGGCTCCCACCGTCCGTCGTGCCTCTCGAAGTAGCGAGGAACGAATTTCTCTCCACTCTCCTCTCGTTTGCGGCGCAGTTCGCGTTGGGCATCTTCCACTGCGCTCTTGGCCTCCGTGGCACGTTCCATATTCCTCTCCTCGATAGCCTGCGTAAGGTCTTTCCATAGGCTGCGCATTCGGGCACCGCTATCAGCCGCATATCCAACTAGTCAATTAAGACATATTCACCGTCGTGATTCGTATGATTCTTGTTGTTGTATGTCTGGTACATATTTCGGTGCTATGTTTTGTCCGTCTTTCGCAGCATCAAATAGTACGCGTTTGCTTCCACTCTGAAATTAAATCAGGAGGCTGCTACTGAGAAGACGGTTCTTTGGCGAACCTTGATACTCTTGAATTCCATAACGTGACTCCACCGCCCCGACACCTCGCCTGTGTCTGAGTTTCCTCGGCGTACACGACCAGCTATTGCGTTATATGTTCCAGAGAAGAAGCCCTGAAACAGTGTTAGATAGCAATCATACAGGGAGCCGGGCAGTGACCTTTGTTTTAAACTCTAAATCACAGAAGAGTCTATTCTTCTCGTTCTTCACTAGACACGTGTCACCTAGCTCCAGTACCATTTTGCCGAATAAAATCCCCCTTGCATACATATTAGGCATCGTTACTACGTACTCTGCCATGCATAGTCAGTAAGGGCATGTCTGTCCATGTGCATGCATAATAGGCTGGGACTACACACCGCCATCGTCTGGGACGCCCATAAGCGTGATTCTGTTCTCACCCTCCATGGTGGTAGAGACGCTATTGCCAAGGAATTTGGATTTTGGTCTGAGCTCCCCGATAATGCAGACGCGATTTGCAGGAGAAATGTAGAAGAATGCGGAGATAGGTGGGTGGTGTGATACTGAAGAATGGACTGGTGAGCAGCAGCATGCATTTATCATCTGCACAAGCGACGTACCCTGCTCAGCGACAAAGAAACCTTGTGTACCATTTGCATAGTCGTATCTGCAACGGAAGAACTCTCCAAGAACGGGATTGTATCTGCGTTCGCTGTCCAAGGGCTGCTGATGCAAAAGGGGCGGAGACTCACGGTTTCTTTACGCCCTTTGGCTTGATATGCCAGCCAGCGAGGTAGTACTGAAGGATGCGAGTAAATCGCTCTTCTGGATCGTCGCATTTCTCAGCACTGGGCAGGGGGTTATGCCTGAGATCTGGAGAGGTAACGGTGTACTCGCCCGAATATGAGATCCGGGTGCGACATGAAGTCTGTGATGCGCTCGAGCATGCTCCGGGGCTCAAGCACAAACGTAGGAAAGGTTACTTTGGACAGATCCATCCCAACTCTTGTCTAGGTGTCAGAACCGAAGCCTTGAAACGCAACATAGAGCACGCACCTGAGCTGGGATATGAGCGAAAGAATAATAGATCCCTCATTCTCATCTCTGAAAGCAGAATCAGTATCAAGGACGATCATGGGACTATTGTAAGAATGAGTAAGTAGAAGAAGAAGAATGACGGACAGGATTGAAGTATCGTCAGGTTCTGTGTCTTCTGGCGCCCTATCGTCCACGGAGAGACCGCGTGCCCTCTTGATATGGGATCCAGCCTGGCTGAAAAGGCCCATCATGGTCGATTGACACGAGAGATTAGACGCTGGCTGGGAATGATTTCTGACTGTGAGCCTTGCTGTGTCTTGCTGACACGGAAATATCAATGATGGCCTGGCTGCAAAAACGACGATGATGAAACACGCGTCACAATTCAGAATAGTGGCGAGTTGCCGCTCGCTGCTGATCAAATTTGCCAAAGCTCAAAAATTGACCACATAGCCTGAAGCATATAGCTACATGCACAGTTGCCGTGCATTATATAAAAAACTAGATGGACATTCCCATGCAGTTGCACTTCCCAGCACTACTAAAACACTATCTTCGTGGGCGCAGCAGTTATATCATCACGGAAGAAAGCCCCATATGCCGCATGCCCTTTCTTCTTGATCGTCATCGGGAACTGTTTCAGATTGTCTGCCTGCGTATCGAAACCGCCTTCCCGAAGCACACGTGCAAGCTCGCCAGCCAATGCTCGTTCGTGGTTTTCTCCAGTGAAGAAGGTAATAGATTTACCGGAGCGCCCACCACGACCTGAGTGGATTGGGCTCGTCAGACTCTGTACTAGAAATAATTGAATCGATACGCACCCGTACGTCCGATTCGGTGGATGTAATCTTCAAGTGTCAACGGAAAGGTGTAATTTATTACAGCTCCAACATTGGGAATGTCCAGCCCCCGTGCAGCAACATCCGTGGCCACCAGTAAACCCGTCTCCCCGGTCTTGAATTTTTCGAGAGCGTTCATGCGTGCAGTTTGTGACATGTCTCCATGCAATGCACCAACGTCGTAACCTGCGCGCCTCAGCGATTGCTCGATACGCGTTGCCTCCTTCTTGTAGAGCGCAAAAATCAGGATGCGCGCCTCATCAGAGCCTTTGCGTGACGTTTTCTTATGTGACAAATCTTTGAGGCATTTGAGAAGCCGATTGCTACCAAAAGTGAGACCAAATAACGAAAAGATCGAGAGATACACACTCTTTTTCACGAGGGTCATCAAATACTTCAACAACTTGCTCAACGCGACTGTTCGCTGTGAGATCATCACTTCCAACTGTGACTCGAACAGGATTGTGCTGGAAAGAACTCGCCAACCGACGAACAGCCTCAGGCCAAGTTGCACTGACTGAGATTGGAATTAGTAATTTGAAACGCGAACTAGAACGGAGAAAGTGCTCACACATCATGGTCTGGCGTCCCTCCCCTTGAATAGTATACGAAATGATTTTCGTGATATCATTTTCGAATCCCTTATCCAACATTCGATCAGCCTCATCTAACACGAGATAATTCACCCTGCACAATTCCCAAGCAATGCTTGAGATGTCGATATCCCGTTGATGAATAAGAAACTCACCTGCTCAGATCGCAGACACCATCGTTAACCAAGTCGATTATGCGCCCGGGCGTTCCTACAACAATTCTGGTGATCTTCCCATCCGTATTTCCATTTGCCAGTGCTTTGACCTGCGGGTCCTTCGGGACACCACCAAACACCGCGACACTAGCAATGCCAAATGGTGCGCCCAGCGCAGAGAGTGCGTCATGAGTCTGGATCGCAAGCTCACGTGTCGGGGCGACGACAAGTACAGAGATTGTGGTTTCTTTCTTCTTAGGCTTTTGGGGCGAAGCTATGAGCTGTGCGAGAGCAGGTATTCCAAATGCCAGAGTCTTTCCGCTGTGTCGAGACATAAGCATTAAGGTGCAATGGTATGCAAAACTGCAAATTATACCTTCCCGTCTCCGCAATTCCCACTACGTCCTTCCCTTTGAGCGCAGGCGGCCATGTGCATGCCTGTATTGGAGTAGGCTCATTGAAGCCAGTAAATGCGCCACGTAGGCCATCCGGTATGTTGAGCTGGTCGAACGATATTACAGGTATGACGGCATCACTGTTCGTCTGGGTACTGATGGTAATGTTGTGCTTTTCCAGAAAGGCTTCTGCTTCAGCAGGAGAACACGATTTTGTTGATGGCTGTGAGGATGGGGTAGCTAACAACGGTTGTTGAGAAGTCATCGCAGCGTTAGCAGAGGGGGTGTCGGCTTCGTGATCGTGTTTTTTCTTCTTGTGCTTCTTGGAGGGGCTAGGTTTGTCTGCCGAGTCTGTCTCTTGCGTGCCATCATGCTTGCGCTTTTTGAGCTTTTTCGAAGTTCTTTCACCGTCTATTGTGAGTATGTAAGGATGGAGGAACGACTAAGTGTACATTGATCCTGATCAATCTCACCTGGAATTGGATCTGCATCACCTGAGGTTTCAGTGTGTATTTTTCTTTTCTTTTCCTTGTCCTTGGGGTCTGGGTTGTATTACTTCATAAATTCGAGCGGATGAAAAAAAAAAAAAAAAAAAACTAACCAGATGGCACATCAACAGCAATCTCAACCGCAGACTCCTCAACGTTAGAAACTGCCTTTACTGACTTCTTCTTGTTCTTGACACGTCCTGTAGAAATGCTTAACTGTGCAGACCATACCATGATACGTCTAGGACACATACCTTCTGGAGGATCTATATCCATCTTAGCACGCTCTGAAACAGCAGTAATATCCTCAGGATCATGATGTTTTTTCTTCTTGTGTTCTTTGTCCTTCTTTTCAGCTGGCTTGTCTTGATCGGTCAGGAGGGTTGCAGGCGGTAATGAAGAATGCAGACCTCTGGTCTCCTCGCTGACAGGATCGGCAGACTTTTTGGCCTTTTTATCCTTTTTATCCTTCTTGGACCTTTTGGGCTCTTCCTGAGGTATTATATCCTTTGACATTCTCCTGTCTAGATCTATGTGTCTATGGAAGCAAATGAGGGAGAGCAGGTTATTTTGTGTCCCACGAGTCACGACACAGTCCAATGTCAATAACACGTGACAGGACGTGTGGTGGGTACTCACTGAGGTATCCTTTTGTTGAGAATCCCAAGCTCTCTGCTCACACTTCAAGTTTATGTACTACGTACAACTCCGCTGAAGTTGTTCACCGATGGTCACATATGCCTCGAATCTCAATATCTTTTTAGCCTCCTCAAATACTTGGTCCCTCGCCGCTGACTCGACACTTCAAGTCATTTTACACTGAATTGCAATTTGTAACTTTGCTATGGATTTCGAACTCAAATAGCCCGCGATACATGTCTGTGGCCCGTGCCAAACAACATGGTTGCACTTGTAGCATTGTCGTTTCACGCCAAACAACATGGTTGCACTTGTAGCATTGTCGTTTCACGCCAAAAAGCCCCTCGCGCTTGCTCACACAATGTCCTACTGGAAAGAGTCTGTTGCCTGCAGGATCTTCGTAACAATGGGACCAGACGAAAAAAAAGGATGAGCACAAAGTTCGTTACGCAGTCAACCGCGGTTCATAACAGTATTTCACGCTGTGTATTCACGCTTACCATGGGTAGGAATACACAAAATTCCCCGCCGTAACTCAGTCTGAGATGTTTACCACCAGGACGGGTGAAGGCACAGCATTTGGGCCTATCATTCATGCTGGGTGTAGTCACCGCTTAGTACAACATTCACAGAGAGTTGGTACCAAATGAAGACATTCCTGTTTTGGATGTAGGAGAAGGGTTGGAATCCTTCCCCATCCAAGATCACGCGACGTCAAGATCGGGAAGCCGCCATCTCACTGCCAAAACACGAATGTCGGAAATTTGTCAATCCAGGTGTTGTGCCGAGTGGTAGTAAACAAACTTTACTGCCATCAAAAGATGTGCCTGACTTCATTGCCAAGCGCCGGCTGCCTTTCGAATCGAGTCTCGACTCTCTCGGCATATTCTCAGACGGTCGCCAGGCTCAAACGAGCTTTTCGCGTATTATCTGCGAGAGACAGGAACAGGAATGTATCGCTATCAGCATTGCTACTTGTCATTGTGAAGAGACTACGCGGACTCAAAGGGACGCAACCATCACGGCTCACTGAATCTCGATCCGCGATGGCAATTGATGACAAGCCTGAAATGAACGCCGGTGACGCCGATGTCACTATTCCTTTGGCCAGTGCGACTATCAGGAACTGTCAGTCTGGGCCATGCCTTCGTTGCGATCCCCACGCTTGACATTCAAATTCCCGCCATTCTCCCTGATCCATGGATAGGCAACATTCGCTATCCCGCTTTTGACAATGTAAAAGTCGACGCCACTTAATTTGCATTTTCGACCGCGGCGCTATTCTCAAGCGACGAACATTGAGGTACATGATCATCAAACTTAGTGCAACGGTCGGATGCAGCCGGTGACCGACACACTCAATTTACAACATCACTGTGGGTGGGCCTTGGCGGAAACGGGCGATGCAACAATGATGAGGCATTTCTATTCACCCGAGATCTCCTAGCCGAGAATTCCTTCATCTGAGATGGTCTCGTCCAAGATTATTGCAGTGTGTTTGACTCCGAGCAACAATCGAACCCATCTGGCGGAGTCAGGGGCACAGAAGATGGATTGCGATATCACTGCGGGTTGACCTTCAACAGATCGGGGGGTGCAACGATGGGGGTATTCCCAGGATGCTAGTTCCTGCGCGAGGGTTCCTTCGTCTGATGAGGTATCTCCCAAACAATCAGATCCCATCTGTCACCAGAAGTCACTTTTGATTGGCTACCTGTCGACTATTCTTTCTCATTCTAAGTCAATGTTAGAAGTAAGCCAAGATGCCTCCATTATTTGTTACTTTATTAATACTGATGTCCAGAGTCTCGTCTCTTACGTATGCAAAACACTGAAACCGCAAAGGTTTGAAATTACTACTCCTTCGAAGACCTTATATCCAACAGCGAGACGCAAATATGAAAACTTCCGGAGGTAGATTCTACCAATATCTGTGTCATCCACAATATTGACATCCTCGAAGCTGACGTGGCCCTTGACAAGTCAAGATGATGCTCGTGTTGATGACGTACTGGAAAGGTCTGGCAGCTGAGATGTGCAGTTTCGAGTTCACGCATATCCGATCAACACCGTATCCACTCCCTAGCAGCACCAAAGATAAGGATCAGTTGGAATGTGATCTCATGGGCACAAGATTCATTCTGCCTGACAGCGTTCCCCACTCCTCACAGCCTCCATTTATCGAGATGCCACCCAAAACCGGTCACTTGTGGAATAGCTGATCAAATAATGTTGTCAATGCCGGATCACGAAGGGGATAGCATTGCAGGTGGAGGACACGCCAGCTGCTACACATTCGTCTTGCGTCTCGCACTTGCCCGTGTAGGTCAATCTCATCACATGCTTTGTAGTGGTGCACAGCTTCGCCTCATAGCAGGTGAGTTACTGAATCGTGATGGTATATAGTGTAAACCTACGACTGACTTCTTGCTTACAGTCTATACCTACCACCAGTTTGCGATGCGCTACTAGTCAGGAACAAGGCTGCAGCTCATGGAGCGTCTCAGAATTCCTCGTAACAGGAATATCAATGCCAAATGCCTGTTGGAATCTCACAAACCTACTTCTGTACTTTTTAGCGGTAGAGGCGTTTCTTTGCCTACCGCCTGTTGGAAACTTGTATGTCTGCGGCCATTGTACTGTTGATACCCATTTTTAGTAACACCTGATGCTCACCACGCATAGGAGTCATTACCAGACTTCGATCGACTTGCAAACTGGGTTTCGATTCCCCACAAATACTCTGACCTTTTTGGACTTGGACACTGATAGGACTTGTACTGCATCATTATCAGATGTCTTCAGATTTACGTTCGTACTTTAAAGTTGTACAGTAAAGTTAGATTTAAAGGTTCCACATACAAGTTGTGTCGGACGTAGAACCGCCTAGTGTCCTAATCTACAGATAGCAGTTCAGGTGCTCAATCCACCTTGGTCCGTTTCCCGTAGTAATATGTAGTACGACCGACTCCTGCGAACCAGGCAAGTCTTACGAAGTGGTTTGTGAGAACAGTCTGGTGATGCATTTGCTCTTGACATACCTTGCGCTCAAGAGGAATATTACAAACGTGATATTGCCATGGGTCATGGGATTCCACTTGCCATAGGAGTACTTGAGCTCGTCGGGGAGGCCAATGAATGAAGCAGCAATACTGAAATGTGTTGCGTAGGGCAAACACTTGCAGGGTACTAAAACTTACTGTGTTACCTATGATGCAACTGCTTAAACGAGTGGATAAGTATGAGAAACAGAGAGCGCCTACATCTGCTAGCGCAAGTGCAGTAAAACTTGCTCCAAGTATACGCTCCTGAGCCCCCGGATTATTTGGAAGAGCATCTCGGACGGCTCTGAATACCAGAGATGAGATTAAACCTAGCAGAAGGTAGCCTAAAGATCCTTCAGTTGGGTCAAATGGACAAAGTAGACGTGGAAACCGCACAGTTTCCCAGTTGCCAGATAGCCATCGTAGTCCTAGCATCTAGCGTCTCGGAAGCAGCAGTTGCACTTGGTATCAGCTCATGGTGGAACCAGGAGGCGCCTGGAAAGAACCACGCCAAGACGGCAGGTGATATGGTCGACACTGTAGCATGACCGTAATTCTGTCATTTGAGTGTGAGTCAGGCCAGTGGGAGGAATTCTGACCTGGTTCAATGTACAAGAAGAGGGTTCGGTAAAAACCCGGTAAGGCTGCAAAGTTACGAGGCATGACGAAATAATGAGTTAATGTAAGAACAGAGTGCGTGGGTAACCGCAGTAATGCAATTCATGACTGATAATAATAGATGTAGCTAAGGTTGCGTGCGCGTCAATGATCATCAGCGCCTACGTTGTCATCATATAACAGTTTAGTGCCCTCAGTGTTTAATCTTCGGTTATCCTATACCGTCGCGCTCGTTCTCAACCTGAACTCCCAGTTGAACACTTATAATTGCTGGATGGACAGCTCGAACTCATCCGTGTTCGACCTCCCATTGCACCAAGATAGTGCAAGGCCATGGGATAGAAGACCAGTAACCGATGACCATTTCCAGAATCAACCTCGTGTATCTGACGCAAATTCTCGCTCAAAAATTTCTTTCTTGGTGATATCCGGTGGTTCGGGCGGGAACTCCATATGCGCTGCATTCGAAAATGCATGTTATGTTCTTCCGGTCTCGGACGACGGTGGATCGTCTAGTGAGATAATCAGGGTACTCGGTGGACCATCTATCGGTGAATAGCACTTCGCGCTCAGCTTGAGACTCGGATATGCTCATGAGGAAATTAAGGTGACATTCGCTCAAGACTTGTCAGATTGATCCCTCCGGTTCCTCTCGGTTCGCCTCTCGATGCCGTGCGCACCCTTTTGTCTTACAGATTACCATCGAACGTGTCTGATAATGAAGCACGCGCTGAATGGCGGAGCATCATCGAAGGACAAAGTCCTCTGTGGTCGGGCATCCCGAACGACCGGAAGGAAGTCATCCGAGGTAATGCTAATAATGGACGCCAACTCCGGCATATTCACATCCTTGATTAGGTTTCCTGGTATACTTCGAGAACGAAGTCCTCAAACGAGCACACAAACACTTCTCCTTCTTGAATGGAAGGTCGGTTGTAGTTGTCCTCGGTGAGACTCCTAGTACTGACTCAGGCCTACGTCCCACAGCATAGGAAACTACTTCCTGGCAGGTGCTCAGGGCTTCTTCCGGTCCTTGCCGTCCGCAATATTTTTATTCTCCACAATGACGAATAGCCAGGTGTGTTTATCATAAAACAAATGAATGAATGAATGAATGGAAATGGTATCCCTGAACACGATTTTAAGGCCAACATCTTGCCAGTCATCGTGACGAATCATATAACTACCATTGCAGCGGAATTGGTCTGTGCTACTATTCAGATCAGGGTTTGTCCAATTTGACATGACTTGTAGGAGGATGGCACGAAGCTGCTGGGTCAATGTGAAATATCTCATCCAGTGGCTCCTGCAATCTTCTCTGATTCAGAGCTGCTGTCATTTGACCCGCTATCTCCCATAGATGGACTAGGCGAGATCATACCACAGAATCGGTTCAACATTATGTACAGTCAACAAGCCAAAGAAGGCGGATATGAGCCTCTCCATTCTCGGATATGTAGTGAGTAACCTTGGTCAGGGTTTGATTCGCGGCACCCATCCTGGATCAGGACTCTACTATATCAATGGGTATGGCCATGAAGTGTACCCGAAACCAAACCCTCAATTTATCAAGAACCTATCGACTTCGGAGGTGTTGGTGTACTCGTGTGGATCTTTGTGGACGAGGCAAGTGCGCGATCCAGGGACTCAAAATTTCTTCCTAATGAAGAATGTTCAGCATCATTCCCTGCCTGGCTCTCCGCGGCGTAGCATCTGCGATCGCGGGATCTCGGTTCCTACGTGTCAAGGCGCTTCTGTGTAGGTCCTGCGGCACTGTCCGGTGACCTAGACTCAATGCGCATCTCCAACAGTGAACGGCAGTAATGATAGAGAAACAGATGGATACACCGCCGTCGACTATATCAGGTGATTCCTTATTTTGCCCTGGGATCTTGATCTCAAACAGCGCAGAGCTATCACCTCGGTGTTGAATTCGCAATACCCGCCAAACGGGCCAGGAAACGTTCCACTTTATCCGATCTCAGCGTTCATCACCCATCTGGTATATCTTGAGGGGACAAAGGTAGCAGTAGACGTCGAAGCTATTACCGTGAGCCGCTGCCTCATGTTTCTACCCCTGGCCACTATCAGACTTATCATTTCCTGTTACTATACAGACACTCGGCATCAAGTGTATTTTAGTCGGAAAAAGATCCGAATGCGCACCTAATTCCGGAATACCTCAATACGATGCTGCTATGGTTCAGCAAGCCATCGAGGAAATTTTATCAGGACAATAGTTACTTAGATGATGTCTTCTCACTGATAAATCGCTACTACATGAACGACTTGAACAAATTATGTGTGGCACGTGAGCGGAAATATGCTAATCTTTTTATAAATTATCTATTACCCTGCTATATTACCTCACCAATCGACTGCGACCAAGTGCGTAGCTGGTTTGTGCTTTCCCCACACAAATACCAACAGTAACCACCGTCTGCATGTCTCCCGCGAGTATCGCAACTAGCAGTGCGCTCAAAGCGGATATTACAGCAATGCAGAATGGCAATAGGACCCAGGGTGATACTCAGGGGAACTTGGCGAGGAGCTGGAAAAGCCAAATAAAAGGTATGTGGATATGAAACTTCTGTCCCCGTCTGACCTCACGCAATATCTTCTCATTTGGGTTAATCATTACGAATCGATTTCTCAGAGGAATCAGCTATCATCCCTAATCAGCAGGATAAAAGTAGGGACCCAAGGGAAGCGTGCCGCCGCCACAGCATTACTAGTACATTTGATTCCGAGGACGAGGAATGTTACGAAGACACGATTGATTTCATACGTCGTTCTAAACAAAGACGTCTATCCCTCGATGGACCTCGACCATATGTAAGCCTGCACGTCGTCACATAGAATCTGGGGTGCTCAGTTAGTCTCGATGCAATGAACGTAGCTAACGGTGTCCGGAGATGACCCTCAGGGCTCTAATGATCGATCCTGCCCACGGGTTCACTTTCGTTCTCGTGTGCGCATAACTGCTGGCATGCGTCGCAGACGACTTTCCGATGGACTGCCGTCTGGTGCTTCGTCGATATCAGGCTCACCTTGTTCATCCATTTCTGCACCATTGCGCTCTGCGAATGCTGCAAGTTCAAAAGGATGGGGCCCGTTAGGCCAGCGAGTAAGTATCATTGCAGCACAAAACTATGCTTCAGAACCATCATCGCCTACTGGTCGGCGGAGAGCACGACACAGCAGTAAACCAATAGAACCATATCATAGTCCTGTGAACGAACACACGCCACTCTTACGACCCCCTTGCAGGTACTCGTACGCAAGGGGATATAACGAAGATAATATGATGGACGAGGACATGGAGAGGCAGCGAGAACGTGTGATAGAGGAAACTTTTGGCAAGTGGCCTGGAAGAGTGCTAAACCGCCACGTGAGGAACCAAGTCACCTGCACAGTTTGAGTTGCTCACGTTCTTTCAGTGGTGGTGGTGGCAACTTGAATCACTTGTTTGCTGCCTCTGCGTAGACTCTGACGTCGAGGAATAACATTTCTTGATTTCAAGCGCATGTAGGAAATACCGCTCAGGCATGGTGACAACGTTGGTTGCTGACCCTTCATGTTTGCTTTCGCGCTATGTTGTTCAGACAACCTTTGTATATTAGCATCATTTCATACCCAAAACGTTCTTGCTGAAAGATATTGGTCTATATACTCTATCGAGATCTTTGTTCTGTTATCAATGTGATGGCATCACCATAGTGGGCGGGAGTGTCGTAATAGGAGGAAGCAGCCCAGCGGCGGCCTTGCGTGCGTTCTGAATGAGTAGCTGATCCATGACGACGATGGCTGCCATGGTCTCGACGATGGGAACAGCACGAGGAACAACACAAGGGTCGTGCCGCCCGCGAGCAGCGAGTGTTCCTGGTGTACCATCGTACTGTGCGGTGTGTTGTTCTTGCGATATGGTTGCGGGTGACTTAAATCCAACCCTATAAGAAAAAGTGAGTGAAGGACGACTTGAGAGAGGTGAAATCCTGTACCTGAAGTAAATGTCTTCGCCATTGGTAATACCTCCTTGGATACCACCACTCCAGTTGGTGGAAGTGCCGAGTTTACCGTCTTTTAAGATGAATGTGTCATTATGCTTGCTTCCAGGAACCTCTGTTCCTCTGAAGCCTGAGCCGACCTCAAAAGCTTTCGTGGCAGGAATTGACATCATAGCTTGCGCAAGTTTTGCTTCGAACTTGTCGAAAACTGGCTCTCCAAGACCTGAAGGGACATTACGGATGACGCATGTCACTGTCCCGCCAATAGAGTCCATAGACTCTTTAGCGCGGATAATGCGCTGTTGATCATAAGCAGTTGGTCACTAATCACGACAGGCATCATAGGAAATATGATGCTCACCTTCGTCATCCGCTCAGCAGTTTCTGGATGAGGACAGCGTGTGGGATGCTTGTCAACCTCATCTCGGGTAATCGTGGCTAGTAACTGTCTAAATTCAGGCGTTAATGCGTCTGCCACGTCATCGTTGTCCTCGTCCCCGTCCACTTCCGCGATGGACAACGGTACTACGTTGGACGGCAGGTGGATCTTGCCAACTGAACTGACAAATGCGACGATTTCAATGCCAAACACCTGTTTGAGATATTTTTCGGCAATGGCACCCGCTGCAACACGACCTGTACAAAGAACATCCTGATTTAGACCCTGAGGAACGTCACAGATGGGATATTTTTACCAATAGTTTCTCGTGCACTGCTACGTCCGCCTCCACTGCTAGCCTTTATACCATACTTTTCAAGGTAGGTGTAGTCTGCGTGACTTGGGCGAGGGTACAAATCCGTCTCAGAATAATCCTTTGGACGTTGATCCTCGTTCTTTACGAGGAGGCCGATGGGCGTTCCAAGGGTGACGCCTTGCTCGATGCCAGATTGCACATGCACAAGATCCTTCTCATCTCTCTATCACAGACTTCGGGATGAGAACATTATACACAAATAGAAAAGAATCTCACAGGTGTAGTAAGATTGCTCTGTCCTGGTCTTCTGCGACTCAGCTGCACCTGAATGTCATGTGGAGATAGCTCCAGTCCCTGCAGGATATCGTGAACCTTTATTTATATTACCAGCGGAAATGACTCATACAGGAGGACATCCATCGATGATCGCACCTACAGAGGCGCAATGGCTCTCACCGTAGGTAGTTACGCGGAAAAGGGATCCAAAGGTAGACATTGTTGGTTGAAGACAAGCCAGCGAGAAGCTCAAGTGACAAGAATCGTATGAGATTATTTTCTATTTATCTGCGACATGAGCCGAACTTGTCGCGATTAACAACGCTTTAGGCTAGCAAGCGTTTCTAAACCATGAAACGGCCTATATATCCAGCCGAGCTAGTCCTACAGAGCCTCAGTCTAGTGGTTGTTAATGAAACAGCTTCAAAAATCGAGAACTAACCAAAATGATGAAATGATAAGCGCCGTGGGAACATCAGCGGCTGCAGAAATTTAGTCCGCAGTGTTTCTCAAACCAATCTCAAAGTATGTCTGCAGTAGCGACATTATCAGCCAACGCCAGTTCGACATCAGGCTCACGATCGCGTCCACAGGCCCGTAAGAAGCCAAATGACGACGCAGCCTACTTTGGAGTCGCAGGGACCAAGAGACAGGCGGCGGACAGGGCAGAGGGAGAGCCACGCGTCAAAAGAAAGAGAGTGGAACACAACACAACAGTCAGCAGAAGGGCGGATAAGTCTGCGGATAATGACCTAAAGAGCGCAGTGAGAGGATTCACATATGACACCGGCCACCATGACATTGATGCATTCTACGTTAGATTGACTTCAGAAACATGTCAACCGCAGGGCTTTATCGTTACCTCTCTCATTTCAGTCTCATTCCACCCGTGTACCCATCACCCTTGATCGCAGCAGATCCACCTTCTCCCGATTCTCTTCTTGACCCTGTACGACAGAATCCGCGAGGCCTTAGTCCATTCACCACGATCTCCACTTCTGGGAACAGGCTAAGGAGAGATACAAAAGATCCAAGCCGCAGACGAAGCTCCCGGTTGCTCGAGGAAAACGAGAGTCGCACGCCTATCTTGGCGGACATTGCTGAGATCCAAACCATCCTTGCTGCCATTGCAGAGCGACATTTCCAGGACCATGCGGTCAGTGAAATAGACACGCTCGCGTCATTCATGGTAAAAACGTCTACTAAGTATGAGTAGAACGCGTCTGCCGTGTAATAATTATTTTACATGCTCCCTCAGCACAAATGCCTCGTACCAGCGAACGGTGCTTTTTGCGAAACTGCCTACCAGACTCAGGTACCGATGATCCTTTTTACGTGGCTGTCAAATTTTTTCCATGTATGATACGTGTCTTGTCTCGTTGACAGTCTTCTGCAAATGCCGCCTCCTCCGACCACCCACCACGTTCATCTTACAGACAAGGCCCGTTCTTCGTGGGTGATAAATTTTCTGGGTGTTTCAAATCCAGTCTACTTTGAGGTTTGGGGCATTCGTGGACTCCCTCGAGGCTCAAGGTCCTTTGGTGTTTTCGATCTTATCAGTCATGCTGTTTTTGACTTGTTGCTGACAAATCAGTTGCTAAACAACACCGCTGTTGCGATGTCGACATCCCCGATTTGGCAGTGAGTCCACTCTTCTCTCCACACTATCTAGTGCTGTTTCACTGCGATCACTTGGAGCACTTTCTTCAAGACTTTGCTGAAATTTGACAGTGCCGAATGGCTGTTGCGATGCTGTCGATGACTTTGTCTTTGTGGCTTCAATGCCGCTCGCTGCAGTTCCCGTGGTGACCTTCAAAGCGAGGAGCACGCTGTCTGCAGCCTGGAATTTTGTACAGTATAAATGTCAGACCGTTCACTTTATTTCCTTTGTTCGCCTTCTCTTTAGCAGCGGTGCTGTTTTATTGTGAGTATCACCCTTTTGCTTTCCTTCGTTAAGGAAGATGGTTAACATCACTGCAGATTTATAGGACCCTTCCCCTGATCATTCTTTCTCGGCTTCTGCGAAGCCTGTTGTATTTTCTCTTCGAAATGAGACACCCTTTCCTACTTCTTGTTGTCCCTACCTGCTTTTGCCTCGCTGGTCGCTGGCTTCGTCGTTCCTGAGCCTGGTCTAGTTGTCCGCCAGCGCGGTGGCGGAAATGGCAACGGAAATGGTGGTGGTGGTGGTGGTGGTGGTGGTGGTGGAGGCGGAGGAGGCGGCGGCGGAGGTAATGGTGGCAGTGATCCACAGAGCTCCCTGAGTATGTTCTTTGTACTCTTTTTTGCTCGATGTATTCATTTGTATCTCTTCAGCTCTTGACCCCGCGGTCATCGCGACGGGCTTCCAAAACGACGGTCAAGGTCAACCTACTGCTGGCCAGGTCGCGTCGCTCACCTCATCGAATAACTTCATCAATTTCTGCTTGACGAACCCCAACGAGCCGATCACCAATGGCCAGCAGATTGCTGGTGGGTCATGCAACCCCGCACCTATGGGTTCCATCCCCTCCACGGCGAACATGCCCTCCGCCAAGTTCACCAATCCGAAGAATCTCGACGTTATCCCGCCGAACCAGGCGTTCACTGTCTCTCTCGCCATTCAAGGCATGGAGACAGGGCATTTTACCAATGCTCAACAAACCTACTTTTCCGCACCTCAGCAGTTAAACGGACAAGGGCAGATCCAGGGACACTCCCACATCGTCATTGAGCAACTGGACTCGCTCACACAGACGACGCCGACCGACCCCACCAAGTTCTCATTCTTCAAGGGCCTGAACGACCCGGCTAATAATGGCATCCTCACTGCGGACGTGACCAATGGTCTTCCTGAAGGGACATATAAGATTTCGACGATCAACAGTGCTGCAAATCACCAGCCGGTCTTGGTGCCTATTGCACAGCACGGATCTCTTGATGATGCAGTCTACGTGCGTTCATTCCCGGGACACATGTTTGCCATGCACTCATCATCCATTTAGTTTACTGTCAGTAATAACGCTAATGCCAACCCCAGCGGTGCTGCCGCCGGTGCTGGAGGTGGTTCTGCAGCATCCTCGACTGTGGGAAGCTCTGCTGCTTCACCCACTGACGCCTCCGGTCAAGGTAATGGAGGTGGAGGTGGAGGCAATGGAGGAGGTGGAGGCAATGGAGGGGGCGGAGGTAACGGAGGGGGTGGAGGTGGAGGGCAAGGAGGTAGGGGGCAGGGAGGTAATGGCAGGGGAGGAGGGGGCAATCGTCGCCACTTCCTTTCTCGCAACAGCATGCATTAGATCATGGTCACTTAATAGGTCCGCGCACGATGGAAGCGCCAGGATCTGGTGCCCTGTGAGCTTGCATTCATTTGGTTTTTTTTTAAAAGCTCCTTGCCAAGTTATTTTTTTCTGCTGTACACGAGTGCGGTGTTCCTTGTACTGAAGTAGTTGGTCTCGCTAGATCACAGATGTCGAGATTATTACCATCAATCAGATGCAGTGTCAAGGGAGCTATATTTGGCTATCTATTGAGTCACAGTCTCCATAATGTTGGCTCTTGTATTTGATTATTGGGAAGGAGATTACCTGAGATCACTGCCCCCCTCATTCAATTAATATGTAGCGGTTGGCGCCAGGTTACTCCATATAACCAACCCGTCCTGCCACTGAGCGGCGTCATAGTTTCATCTATCTCATCGTCTATCTTGTCACATCCTAAACCATCCCTAGAATCTGCCATCACCGCGAGGTCAGTTCAAAGCAAACCCGTAGTTCGCTCCCTTGATCAATCGCTGTTACGTCTGATCCGGCGGGATGATCACTGGCAGAGACTCGAAAAGGCAACAAGGTGTGGGTGTGTAAGCTTGTTCTGATCGCGGTCCTGTCCAATTGCAAAGTTAGGTTATCCACGAGTAACAGCCAGCGGAATGAGGGCATCCGTGTAGCTAAATATGCTTTGGTTGGCTAGAACCTGTCCCTCGGTAGTGTCCCGCCATACCCGATGACATCCGCAAGTATTCGCATCAGCGGATCGTGTGGGATCTCACACGAATGGCTGTGTTGAAATATCGATAAGCCATGGGATCTGAGATTGTAGGCGTACCTTGAAGGGGACTTGCTGCGGCCCACGCACAGCGCACATGAGCATGGAACTTTTCGTTCGAAAATGCGAAACCTGGAATGGCAAAGGCTATTTGGTATTCCCTTATTCGATCATGATACTCATCGGGTACACTTGCTAAACCATCCTGTGATCTATCCGCGTTAATCTTCAAGTCGTACTAGTATCCAGGCCAAGGAGGCGATCCAGGCCCGACACGTATACCACACGTCGAGGATCCGCACAACAATTCAGTTTGCACGTTTCACTCGAGAATAGAGATCAAGTGATGGATGAGTGTACATCCTGCGATCGAGATGACTGCGCATGTGAACATGTAAACAGGGGTGTTCTCGACGCCACGAGATCGCGCGATGGGTGAGGAATGGATTGGCATCCGTGCGTGCGATTTGGAGAGCACCATCGTTTCAATGCATGCCATATAGATCGATCAAGACAATGTTTGTTAGTTTATGCAAGGGGTCATTCCTAATAAAGGGTATTACGCCCTCGACACAACATGTTGGCCAGATAGATAGATTAATTGGGGAGGCGCCGACCTGGGAATCTACCCTTCATCATTATGAGAACGGGGATCTGCGGTTAATGTTTTTTCACAATGGAGGTGGGCGTCTTCAATACCACATAGTTCAGGGAGGTGGCTATCTAGAAACTTACAGCATTGGCTGCATCAGTCCATTTCACGTGTAAGCAAAGCCATACTATCCTGCCCCATCACCAGCGAAGATTACACGGGCGTAGACAACACTACAAAAAAGGCGAAAGGGGCTTCCATTGCTAGCTCTATAACGCGCCCATCTGGGATAAGAAGGGCTTTAAGTTCGTGTATCATCCAAATTTGAATTGCCTTCGGAGCTTGGCCTCTTCTCCAGAATGCCATCAACAATTCCAAAGTTAAGAGCTTCTTGTGCTAAAAATGTTCTGTGAGAGATGTGTCGTCATTATATATATGAGGAAACTTGCCCGTCATGAAATAATCTCGCTCCAGAGCCCTCTCTGAATACGAGTCAATATGGTCACCTGGCAAAGGAAGAGAGCCTTACCGAATCGCTCCAGCCCTGATGTCTCACTCTCCTCTACTTTGGCACAATGTCGCTGATATATACTTGTCAGTAGATGTCTCACACGCAAAATCTCTTTAGCGTGAATCGCAATGTCGGAAGCTTGCCCAGAAGCGCCTCCAGAAGGTTCTGCAAGCGAGCAATATGAGTTATGTGATGATCGCCGCCGCCACTGTCATCACCCACGGTGGATCATTATGCTGGCATTAGGAAGACAATGGCGCTTTCCCTTTTCACCTAGACCACAGTGACATCTTTTCAAATGAAGAAGTTCCAAGGGACATACCCGCTGCTAATAATAGGGATCCCATGGAGCATGCTTGTCCCACACAATAGGTGTGTATTGGCGAAGAAACGTACTGAAAGTGGACAGCAGGCGTTAGATGCAAATAATGCCACCCCGCGGAGTTTCAAACCTGCATCTTTGAAATGTTAGTTTGGCTAGAAAAGAGACAAAAGAACTCTCGCACTGTATCATATATGGCCAGCCCTGCAGTCACGCTTCCTCCAGGGGAGTTAATGTATAGGTGGATTGGTTTAGAGGAGTCTTCAGCTTCAAGAAACAAGAGTTGTGCAACGGTCAGGGCTGAATCTGTATCCCGTATCTGGAAGCCAAAGACATGAATTAATTCAACCTGAGGCTTGGGAGAATGGCAGACGTACAGGTCCATACAACATTATTACACGTTCACGCAGTAGGCGAGAGAAAATGTCATACGATCGCTCGCCTCTTCCCTGCACGCATGAGGTAGAGTGCTGAGCTGGAGACAACCGAAGAATGCATGAGTTAACTTACTGTCTGTTCGACGACTATGGGCACGAGGTTTGCCGACGGTGGTCCCCATGTGCTGGAAATATGGTGCAATGTGCGTACAGACGGTAGTAGGCCTGCTCTTGCTTGACTCCTAGCTGTTGCTAGTGCTGCCCTTAATGGAACAGCTCTCATTGTTGACAACATTGAGCTTAATGAACACAGGAAAATGCACTAACGCTTAGGACTGTCTACCACGTGACGGAAACTTGTAATGAGTGTGATGCGTACGGTAATTCTGTGACACACGCGTCGTTGTCACGCTCGTACGTGTTGCAACTTGCACTCAACCCGTCGGCGTTTCAGCTGGAGGCCTTTCGCACCTTCTACCTGTTTGACCACGTTTTGTGGCATTCAGCCTACAAGGCGCCTTGATAGCAGCTGTTTACTTCTGCTAACACACATTATGAGCACTCACACGCATGCACAGAGATCGACGGAGGCTCCCATGGACTTCCAGTTTACGTCTCGACCAAGCAGTAATACGAAGCCAGTCTGGGCTAATAATGGCTTGAATACGCCCCGAAAACGTGGGTTTTCATTCCTTCTGAATTCTAACCTTGCTAACAAGTGCCAGGTCCATTTGATGACCTTCAACCCACGAGTCCGGCATTTCCTCAGCCACCTCCAACTCCCATATTTGGAGAAAACCGCAACGTGCCGTTCATTTTCCAGGCTCCAGCACTGCAGACTCCTCCAGTCTACCCGTGGGTGCCTCCCGTGAATTTCTCGCCTCAGAAAGCATTTCCTGTGCAGGAGGTGCGCGATGTGGACATGTCCGAGCTTAGTCCTCCTAAATCCGAGGCTTCTGAGAAAGAAAACGGGAGAATAGTTGCCACAGGGGCGCTCAGAAGGGTCTTTAACTCGAGGCAGAAGGCTCGTACAAAAAGCCAACACGTTGTATCATTACGTGACGACCTGGGGTACGGCAGCGAGGAAGAAATTGATGGCGATGCAGATCATGCCGGGCTCATGACACGAAACACATCAAACCACTACACGCTCAACATGCCGGCTAACCCAGCGCCACGGGCAGATACGCCACAGGTCTTGCTAGGGTGAGGTCATTTGCATGTACTCTTTCCAAGTGTGCGCTGATCACACTTTTGAAGATACTTACAGTTCTTTTTTAATCTGTCTCTTGTCGTGGTGTTTCTTTATCTCCTGGTGCAGTTCATTCTCACAGTACAACGTGATGTCGAACATCGGATCTCAGAATATTCGATGGGTATGTATGATCTTCATCCCTGTCAAAGTGTGTGCTAAAATGAATTGTTTGTCAGATATCGTGCAAGAGATCGGCATGTGTGCTACACAGTACAGGAACAACCTATGTGAAAATAACCCTGTGCCTGCCATGATCCAACAATGTGCATCTTGGAAAACATGTATGGATCGTGATCCAAGCATGGTTGGTCGTGCTCGAGTAGGTGCAGAACTCATTGCGGATGTCATCAATGGTTTTGTGGAGCCTATTAGCTGGAAAACATTGGTTAGTACACGCGAGTTCCTGCTGATGAGTGCGCGGTGCTGATTACATATTGGTGGGCAGGCTTTTACGTTGACATCACTAACTTTCTTGACGGTCTTCGTGAATTCCTTAGTTCTCCCTGTACCGCTCACGTCATGAAGGTGGACATTCTCCGTCAAGGTACCCAGTTCCCCCTATGACACCGTTTCCTCATCATTACCTTGCTTCTGGGCTGGCACCTCGGGGTTCTGGGCTTGGAAGTGATGACGATATTTTCGGAGATGCACCTCGTAGAAGACGTGGAGAAGACGGACAGGCGATTAAAGTGAAATGATTGGTTTATTTTCTATGACAGTTAATCTATGCGACACGTTGGATAGACATCGATCGAGTCGAGTCTGGACCAGAGCTAGTAGGTTAAATGTACTAGTGAGTTGACTGAGTGGTCCGGATGGATCCGGGGTGTTCCTAATGGGGGACCAGTAAGTTGGCGAGTAAATGAGTCAAATTGCCTATTGGGCTGTGGGCTCTGAGATGATCGGAACAAGGATGAATTGCGGCTGCTTCTGTCGTGGGCCGGTGAGCACGCAGGACCTGCTATGGGAACAAAGTTTGGGATCGCGTGTTTGAAATAGGCCTAATTATATTTGTTTATTCGTTTTCGGTTTAGCTGTAAAGCCATTGCAATGCCGGAGACCCGGAGCCCGTTACTAATAAATATAGCCTTCATTTCTGTCGGATGTGGGGCATCCGAGGGTCATGTCACTTTTTGGTCGATTTTAAGTTGGGAGACAGCCTGGCACTGGCAGTGGGACGGCGTCCCTTGTCTCTTGTCATAGTATATGTGTACTTATGTACAGCATTAAATTTTAATTTTTGATACCTTCGCAATCTCAAGATCTAAATCTCCTGAGCCAGTCATTTCGAAAACACCAATTTTGGGGCCAGGGAGAATCCAGGTGATCTGACTAATCGCCCCAATGATCTGCGTGCGATTATCTCTGTTGCGAGGGAGCCCTACGCTCAGCTTACGAATACATAGTTCATATTTGATATAAAATTATTGTAAACCCATCGCATATGTGTCGCAGCTAGAGGAAGATAAACGCCCCAACCGATAACAATCAGAGACCATGGTCAGAACACCTGACCATAGGCTCCTGTTATTTGATAGATTTGGCTGCGTTGGCTGCGGCTTCTGCAGCCTTCTCTTCATCTCGTTTCTGCGATCAAGTAGAGTGAGCTGAACGATACCAGGACAGATGTGACGACTGAAAGGTCATGCCTTCTGTTTCGCTCTTAGAATCTCTGCATCGCTGTACGTATTGGACATGTAAGATCATCATTCACGATACGAGAATGTGACACATACGTTTCTTTGCGCTTTGCCAGCGATGTATTACTTTCCTTTGCTTTGGATTTGTTCAAGGCGGCCTGCTTTTTGGCGGCCTTTGCCCGATCCGTTTCTCGTTGATTTCCTCCTAGATTATCAGTGAGATGATATTGCAAAAAAAGAAGAAGAAAAAAAAAAGGTGGTGACTCACGAGTCATCGCAGTAATTGAATGGCAATTGATGTCCAGTCTTTGGTGTTAAACACGACAAGGCCAGCAAACAATGACAAACAATGCGTGGAAGAATTGACAGGGCTTTCAGTTCCGAGACACCGCAGGCCACCACGTTCATGATCAACCCACTGGAGATCTATGGGTGCGTTATAAGCGAATTAGGGAATATCTCATGATGGCCTTTTCATATCTGCCAAATGACCACGGATCTTCCCTAGGCTTCACGCTTGTCTATCTTTGGCGTCTCAGTTCTTCACTTCCCCGCCCGAGCTGCCCTATATTCCGTTCGCCACAGCTCGAAGTACGTGTTCGATTAGGAAGTGACCAAACGTTTCATACAAAGAGTAATTACTAGTACGAGTTATCATCGGCTATCTTTGTCCTATGACATTCAGATTGCAACGTCAATGACAGCATGTCAAGCGTTTCTCACCTTAGTCACCAGACCGTTCTCAACTGCCGAATAACCTTGTTTTGAGGAATAAATATGACGCGTGGTGGCAACTGCTATTCAAAGTATAGGTTGGCCATGTCATCTCCCCCGAAATTTTTGCGGCAAATTGAAAAACAAAGAGTATTTTATATTCTCCGAGTCGGATATTGTTTGGATCAGGTCGAGACTTTCCGAATGAATGGCGACGGTCGTCTGCGATATCAGATCGTAGTCGAACCGAACGGGAGCAGCACGCCGTGACCAATGAGGAATCCCTTACCTTATTAATGAAATCAGGCGTTCAAAAAAGCTGTGAAACCCCAGATATATATATTTTACAATGAATGATAGGGCACGGACTTTTAGCAAAGTCATGGGGGTGTTCGTCACATGACGAATACGGGAACGCATCTCGATGAGCCGTTCTATCGTTCATGCTTACCTATTCAAGCATGGTGGAAGATCAACTTGGCCGTAGAAGCGCTATCAGCCAGAAGACCGTGGGCATACGTAGTCCTACGTTGGTTGATATCTCCCGCGGAGTCATACGGGTGCAGTCAGTCTGAATGTGGTAGTAGTAAGCGGTGTATCCGTCCCTGCAATCAACAGCTTGAACGACGTTTACATGTTTGCCGGGACCCTGTGCGGCGCCGCTTAGTCTGATCTAATTCCCATCGGTGCATGTACCAACCCGTCGCATTGGGTCAGACGCCCCCACACCGCAGTACACAGCCCCAAGCTGCCCCAACTTTACTACGAGAAATGTGCCTGCTGGCATCCAACCTCGTTCTCTTCCGAACTTCTCCGACGGAAAGTCTTATTCACCGGTCCGATAAACCTGACGATCCTTCGCACGGTCTTGCAAGCGCTTCTCCGTTGTAGGGGAAAGCTCCTAACGTAAGACTGGAGGGTCATTGCCACTAAGTACTGCCAAATGAACTTCTAGTGGAAACTGCGCAAAAATTATTATTGTTACCACGGCAAAGAAGGATTGATGAGTGTTGAACCCGAAGCGCACCGACTAGGACGGAGGTAGATCTATCCGGTCGGAGGATCGCGTTCATTCATGGTTGTGAGGCGATCAAGTACCAGCGCTGTGCTTGAAACGAAGTCAGCGCGGGACACCTTCTTTACTACACGTGGTGGTCTTCTTCTTGGAGAAAAAAAAAGGAAGGGAACCGAGAAAGACGGGTTGAACTCTTACTCTCCGTGACATCGCATCATATCAAAAAGTCTAAGGAGTAGTAGTAAACCACACGTGGAGATTAGAGATCATGACGGATGGAAGTGAACTGTTTTAGCGAAGCGAGAGATGCGGCGGCGGCCAAAGTAGTAGTAGAAGAAGCATGCCATATTTCATTTTCCTAAAATGATAACAAGATCAAGATTGACATACGCCACTAAGGAGGGGTACCTGGCTATTGTGAAGGGTAAATTAGAAATGGGCTCTTCCAGAAGTGGAATGAATAGACCCTGGATACAAACTCGCTGACAACACAAATATCGCCTCCGAGATCGTTCCAGATCTAAGACGTCAAAAGGGGTTGCCGTAAAAATACCGAACATGGCACGGCATTACGCGGATTGGCATTTCAATCATCTTTTTGAAAGACAGCGATTAATTCTATTACCGCTTTCGGACTCGACCGTTAAGCTCTTTAACTCACGCTATAGTCCAAGATTGGAAGTGCTTCCATGAAAACTCCACATGCGAAAAGAGCCGAGATCAGTACGTGAAAGTAGCCGACGGCCAAGGCCCTGATCTCCCCTCTCCCGCAGTTTCATATATAATACATCATCCTCCAAGGTTTGACAACTTTCCCCTCTTCGCTTCTGTCTCCAATCCACTTGGCGTCAATCGTCATGTCCCATAGACACATTCAACGTCAGTCGGACAGGGACGTGCGCATGCACGACCCACCTCCTCACTCTCATCCTCATGCTATCCTCACACATCCTCCACCTCCACCACCACCTCCACCACCAACTCATCAACCTCATATCAATGGCAATGCAGCTGCCTTGCCTACTACGCCAGCTCTCTCAAATGGTTCAGCTCATGCGATCGTATCGCCCGTCGTAATCCCAAACGCTACCGCCTCAAACGGCGTCGTGCCACCTCAATCAAGCGTCATTCACAAGTTGGCAGTGGCCAACGAACAAACGTGGCTTTTGATCGGTAAGTGTTTTCATCCAAAGAAAAATCGGCTAATAAGTTTAATCCTCTTATTGTTCCCAGGGCGTGTCGCGGAGCAGATGGGCGACCTGGAACATGCGATCACAGCATATGAAAACGCACTACGGCATAACCCGATGTCCCTGTCAGGACTTACACAAGTTGCGGGAATCGCGCGGATCAAGGAAAATTATCCAAAGGTAGGAAAAATCCTTGATGCTATTTCGTGCCAATCCCGCGTCGAAGCCGATATCCTCCGAGGATATCCCTTTGGTAGTCTTTTTTCGTTTGCGCCCATCCTTATCTCAGATCCTCACGTGGCAGTACGCTGATGTCATCATCTTTCTCTTTTAGGCAGTCGAGTATTTCCAACGTGTTCTTCAATTACAAGAAGACAACGGCGAAGTATGGAGCGCACTCGGTTAGTTCATCTCACCCTTACATATCCGTATGCGCTCATAATACCCTTTGTTCTATCACAGGCCATTGTTATCTCATGCAGGATGATCTGCAGAAGGCCTACTCCGCTTATCAACAGGCTTTGTACCTCCTCCCTAATCCAAAGGTAACTCAACCTACTCTCATTCACAAGTATTCTCCGTCCTCATGTCAACGCCAAGGAGGATCCAAAACTGTGGTACGGTATCGGCATACTTTATGACCGTTATGGTTCCTTAGACCACGCTGAAGAGGCCTTCGCTTCTGTCCTGAAGATGGACAAAGGTTGGCCCTCTTCTGCTTCCAGAACCATATCTTGGTTGATATTCATTCCGCAGAATTAGATTTTGACAAGGCAAATGAAATTCTCTTCCGTCTCGGCATAATCTACAAACAGCAGGGCAAATATGAGGAATCACTCACCTGCTTTGATCGCATCCTCCGCAATCCTCCAAGTCCTCTCGCCCATGCGGACATCTGGTTCCAGATCGGGCATGTCTACGAACAACAGAAAGACGTAAGCTCCCTACCCATCCTGTGCAACATTTTCTGCATACTCATCGTCTTTTGAAGCATGTCCGCGCTAAGGACGCATATGAACGTGTCGTGGCTGATAACCCTGGGCACGCAAAAGTTCTACAGCAATTGGGGTGGTTGTATCACCAAGATGGATCTTCTTTCCAGAATCAAGAACTTGCCATCCAGTACCTGACTAAGAGCCTGGAAGCTGGTGGGTTATTGCAATTTAGCTATCTTTACTTTCCGTGCCGATGCCGTTATACAGACCCTTCAGACGCTCAAAGCTGGTACCTCCTCGGCCGTGCCTACATGGCTGGCCAGAAGTACAATAAGGCTTACGAAGCCTACCAGCAGGCGGTTTACCGCGATGGCCGTAACCCCACTTTCTGGTGTTCGATCGGTGTTCTTTACTTCCAAATCAACCAATTTCGTGACGCTCTTGACGCATATTCGCGTGCCATCCGCATCAATCCTTATATCTCTGAGGTCTGGTTTGATTTGGGCAGCCTTTATGAGAGTTGCAACAATCAAATCTCAGACGCCATCGATGCTTATGCTCGTGCCAGCGAACTTGACCCTGGAAACCATATCATTTCACAGCGTCTCCAGCTTCTCAAGAACGCCCAAGCGACTGGTGGTCAGCTGCCTGCTGCACCAGGCCCTCAGGATGTGCACCCTACCGCTTATGCCAGCGCTGTCGTTCCTCCCCCAGGACTCACCGGCCCTCCTCTCCTGCTGCAATCGACATCAACTCGTCCCCCAATCTTCCGCCCTCAGTCAAACGGCCCGCCTAGCGGTGACAATCTTCATTTGCCGCCCCCTGCACCTGCTCCCGCTTCTAGATCATCACCTGGTCCGTTCCGAGGTGGTCCTCCACCACCTGTAGTGTTGGACGAGAGTCGCCACATGCCTTCACACACACCACTCGCGCCTATGGACGTTGATCGTCCATCTCATCCTCGTGACTACACTAGTTCGTCGCGTGAGGGGCCAAGTCGTGGGCCAACTGGTCACCAAACCCTCCTCCTTCATCACCCTGTTCCCCAGCAGCAGGTGCAAACGGAAGAGCTCCGTAATTCTGCCGTTCATGGTCCTGGTCAATACAATGACCACTTCCCTGGCCGTCCGCTCAGGGTCCCATCGACATCCGCTTCGCCACCGCCACCACACAATTCACGTGTCCGATCTCCAGGTCCTGGGTACCCCAACTATCCTCCATCAAATAGGCAACCTGTGGGACCTGCCCAGCCCAGCCTGTCACAACGATCGCCGCCTAATTACCCTCGTGAAGCACCTCGCCTAGAGCATGATACGGCATGGGATCGTCGCGGGCCACCTCCCGAACATCATCGTGAATGGGAGCGTGAACGAGAGCGTCGAGGACGCCCTGAGTACCCCTCACATCCTTCGCAGCAACCCTATTATCCCTCACGTTCTCCCGGTCCTCGTGGACACAGTCCAATGGAAACGTCTCCTCGCTCTGCACATCCGTCCGCACACCCATCTCGTGCGTACTGGGACTCCAAGCCCCCTAGCGGTCCCCCTCATCCTCGTTCACCTGCACCACCAGGTCCTCCTGAGGGTGGCCACTGGCGATACGACCCTGCACGCGAACAGGAGCGAGACGCGCGGGAGTATGAGCGGGAACGTCAGTTGCACGAACAACGTAGGCAGTCGATGGGTTTCGCAACTTCGCCGGAAGGCGCTCCACATGCACTACCTCATCATATGGGGAGCAACTCGCGCCCTTCTGAGAGCCCACGACCCACTCCTGTTCCTGATTCGCGCGACCGCAAACGGAAGCCAACGAAGGATAGCAAGGATTCGGACACGCAGAGCATTGCTGGTACCGGCGTCATTGGCGAGGCGCCTAAGAAGGAGAAGAAGCGAAGGCAGCGACGCGCCAAGGATGACTCCAGTCGGTCAGATTCTAACGGCGTTCCTTCGAACATGCCTGCTACATTCAAGATCAGCTCTTTCTCTGCGAAAGAGGGACCTGAGACGTCTTCCTCGGGAAGTCGGTCATTGCAACCATCGCCTACGAGTGCGACGCCTCGTCCACCTTCACGTGTAGTAGATGATGACTATGACGAAGGCATAGAGACGCTTCTCAACCTCTCACAATACCGACCCGAGCAATCGTCATCCACAGATCGTGGCTCTGTCTCTTCTTCGCGCAGCCGTCCTTCACCCCCCGAAGGGTCAGGCTCCCTCAAGCGTCCTCTGAGCCCGGTCCCGGATGAGATGGACACGAAGCGATCTCGGGTGGATGGTAGCAAGCATAGCGCGTCATCTCCATCAGGTTCACGACACACTCCCATACCTTCGTCGCGACCATCGCCTATGCCCTTCCGTACCCAGCCCTCGCATTCTCCTGATTCACGTCATACTGAATCTCACTACCCGACTAGTCCACCGCAGCTAGCTGTAGTGCTTCCGCCTCATCCCCGCCCCATTGGACCTGGCCATGCATCGCATGTCAGTCCATCTGCTCCTATCGCGCTTCCTCCCATTGCCACGCTGTCACCTGCATCAAGTGTGCCTTCTCCATCTGATGACCGGATGATTCTCGACTCCCATCGTTCTTCTACTCCTCCATCGCGAGGAAAGCTTTCTGAGGTCATGAACCCAGCAGCAGGCTCTCCACCAATGAAGCCAACCACATCTCCCGCTCGCTCGCAAGAAAGAACGGCACCTACTCCTCCTTAATACCGGTCGAATATCACTATGTTTTTGTATGCGCTTGCTATTTAGGCTTGGAGCTTGATCGACCCTATTATGATTGCATTGACGAAGCAGCTATGCAGTATCGCATAATACGATAATTATCAACAATTGCATGTAAAATACGTTGAACACACTTGTCCGACAAGCTGTCGAGCTGCGAATACCATATTTTGTGCAATGCAGGGTGACTGAGTTTATGTAATAGTGTGAGTCAATGTAATATGGACTGAGTTGGTGGTTGTACAGTTTCCTTGTAGTTTTAACGTTTGATAACTACCACTGAGGTCTAAGGGCCGGGAGTACAAAGGCATATGGTAAGTCATCCCATTTCGTTTTGACATTGACAGTTAATTAGGTTCTTAATCACCTGCAGGGCCAACCTATCCAAATTTCCGTCAACTTGGATGGACGGGTTTCAACATTTACGGCAAGAAGAGAAGAGTCGAATTCTAGATCCAACCTTAACTTCAAGTTCCTCCTCTGCTAGTAAGCTTGAGTCGTTCTATTCCATCCACCTTGCCTATGATAGTGATGCATAGATGGATCGGAGCAGCTTCAAACCACCTCTCTGAACGCGATTCGATAAGGCTCAGGCATGTCGACTCCTTTGGCGCACGGCACGTCGTGCCTTCGTAGAAGGAACGATCATTTTCTTATTGTCTACATAGGAGACTCAGGGACAAAGTATATGCTGCTGTAGAAAACAGACGTATAAGGCGTTCCGCGCCGTTCTTTTCTCACAAAACGCACGCTGCATGACTGAACCTTCTTTGACAGAGCTGGTAAATCATCGAGAATCCTACCCTTCTGATTAGACCCTGACAAGTCTCAATCAAGGTAAACGTGTTCTACAGGGAAGGTCTATTTCAGATTGCGCGAATGTACCGCGCCCCCGTAGCATCGCCATGTACAATCTGCGTGTATCTATTGACTGCTTTCACATAGGTTATTATCACGCAAGCATCTGCGCAATGGGATGGACCCATCTCCTTTTCATCTTTTTCCTTGCACAAGCTCTTCAAGTCGGTGGACTTGATCTATTTATCACCTGTCACCTTCGCTCGCGAGTCGCCTATAAGCGCACCTCAACTCTAGAAGGAAGAGGTGCGTCTATTGATATGCGAGATTCCTGGAACCTTCTGAGGAGGCATTGCAGCTATCATCCCGCTAGTAGTGCATTGGTAAATTGCTTGCCACAAGTTCACCTCTCGTTGACGGCGAAGACGCCTTGCAGCCGTGCCTTCTTCGGTTTCAAGGCCGCAATATTCAAGGTTTGGGCGTGTCTGCTGATATGAGTGGGTGCCAGTTGCAGTGCCCTCCGCTAACTATCTTTGGAATCTGGCAGATAGAAGGTATCTGATGCCGTTGAGAGCTGTGCCAGCGAGGATTGCGGAGGCTCCCCAGGGCCACCCCTAAGAATGGTATTGCTATAGTTAACCTAGCTAGCCAATTAGGGTCACTGACGTGTTTGCTCACTTGGATCATGGGGTAAGTCCGAGCTTGCTGAAATACAGCTAAAACCAATGAGAGATGCCAATCAATATTTAATGTACAAGCAGGAGCCAATGAAATATGCAGGAAGTACCAATTAATGTGTGTAATTGTTGAGATGATCAACTGCAACCAAATCTATTTCCGCTTCGAGCACAACATCCGACCTACCGTGACCAAAACTCGTACTAGGAATCAAAAACTCATTCTATATCTTACATCTACCCGGAGCATTCACTGCCAAAGAGTCCGTTATTGCTCTGACTAACGCCTGCAGCCAGCCAACCTTACCACCTTGCACATTCAATGCGACATTGACAAGTCATGACATCTCTTGAAATTCCCATGAACGATGAATCGACATTCCATACACATCCCCAACAGTTTCATTCATCCACAGAGCCAACGACTCATAATGCGCAGTCGTCTTCTTCCTCCGCTACGTCCAGCCTCGTTGCTTCAGCCCAGCCACGTTTGTCTCAAACAACCTCGTGGACACACATGGACTTGACCAACGAGGACTCTCCGGGTGCAGAGCAGGTGGAATTGGATAGTTTGGAAGTGAAGCACAGGGAAACAGCAACCCAGCAACTGCCACTAAGCCCGCCACTCACTCGCGTACCCACCACCGACAGCACGAGCGCACGTATCCTCACACCGCCACTGGAAAATGACGAAAATCAAGGCTTGGAGGAGATAGACATTGTCGACCATGAATGGCATCCCCTTGCACATGTGGAGTCGCCAGTCATGGCTGATGCTTTGTCCTTACACAACCGTGATAGCCTCGATATCGGTTCAGAGACATATAAGAAACCTCGAAGACGAACGAAACCCAAACCAACGCATCTAAATCTTGAATTTAGGGAGCCTTCACCTCAGCCTTGGGACTTCATTGATCCACCGGCTGAGAACGATGACCGCCTAGAACCTGAATCTTACTCGCTTCCAAAGTCTCCAATGTATGGGTATGTTCTTGAGTGTTTTCTTCTATGTTGATATTGACTTTGCAACACAGGCATCGGCGACCCTTGATTCCTCACTCGACATACTACTATAGACCACCTGCATCAGACTCGGCATTCGGAACGCCCCCAGTTGGACAGATTGGTGTTCACCACCCTCGAGAAATTGTACGCATTGAAAGGGATTATAGTGCGGGGGAACTGACTCAGTTCTCTTCATCATATCCCGTTGAACTTGACGGCCGAGTACTGCACGCTTGTTATCCACCCTTACGCTGGCTTTCTAACTCCAACTTGCCAGATAACTCCGACTCAATTCATGGAGACCATCAACGACATTAATGAACTTCTAATATCAGCATATAGTGCCCGCCACTCTTTCATATACAACTTTCTTGCAATTACTACCCTGCACCTCTCGACACTTTTCCTCACGTCACACTATGATAAGGTTTGTCTTTGTGCCCCCGTGTGGCGTACCTACTGAACAAAGTTTGCACAGGAGATGCGGCGGTTAAAGGAGACGATTGAGGGAATAAATACCCAAATATATAACCCCGTTGGTCTGAACATCCTGTGGCCCCGGAACGTGGCCTTTCTTTTCGTGCGTACTTTCGCCACTCAAGGGTTATTATGCTCATTATTACTTCACGACGGCCCGTCGCTTGACAACGATAGTTAGAGATTGAATACTATGTGCGTGGTTTGTGCGCCGTCCATATCCGCTGAAGCTAACCATCCTTGTGCTTCAGTGACCTTTTCGAGCGATATTGATACCAGACACATTTCGACGACACACTTACTTATTGTACATCATTTTGCCCATGTCACATGGATAATTTAATATGCTGAAAGGAGGCGTATCGGTTTGCTAATTGTGCTAACCGCAAGTTGCAGGACTAGTACTGCCGAAACCAATGAATGTGTTAAACCATATGCACACAGGCACAAGAATGTTCGAAAAGTTGATCTGATAAGATGGACGCTTCAAAATCGGGTCGGCGGACGTGGTCCGACAGTGTGTGTGCCTCGGATGGCAAATCAGGTCAGAGGGGGGTGAAGCAGAATGCTTGTTCCACGCTGTCGCTAGCGAATATCCCGGACCGTGTCAGAGACATAGCTGAGCCAATGGGAACCTCTCGGATACACGTGACCGAACAATCAGCCAATGAACACTCCAGCACGATCATGATCGGGATAGTCGATCAAAGCGGTCCTGGGGGTTAGAAAGGACTCGGTCATTCAAGCAAAACTGGCTCATGTTCCGATCAGAAACAGCAGTTTAGGCGTTTGAAATGAGGAACTATGTACATATGGAGCATGCGCGTCCCTTCTCAACTTGATACGGTGACTACGGCAAAGGTCTGTATCCCTGCGAGTTGAACGTACAGAAACTACATGGCCTTTGTTCACCGACTTGACAAGCTGCGTGAGACATTTCGAGTCAAAACAACAAGGGACTGCGGAAAGCGGTAATATAACGGCATCGATTGCGGCAGATAACACCTGCAGGTTTCACTTGTCCCAAAATCGCAAGCCAAAAACCGGTGAATTCGGACGAGCAATAGGTCGCGAGACAGGGTTCGGCTGGAAGCGGTAACTATAGACAGTTAGTGTGCATGTGGGATCAAGTGCTGGGGAAGGAGCAGCTCAGGCAGACAAACCCTCTATGATCGTTATCCATAAAGGGAAGCTTTGAGCCAAGAGCTGCGATGATCCTCGGGGTGCAGCAAAGGGATGTTGTTGACCAGGCTAGGGAAAATCCAGCGAAACGAAGCTCAAGGAAAGTTCAGCTGTGAATACGATCCTGGTGCTATGGCAGGCGAGAATAAGTACTGGGATTAAACATTGATCCGACGTGGGTCAGGCGGATGGAACTTCTTACAGCTTGTTTGCAAAATGAGCGTACCATCTGACACGTAGCGAAAGCAGACCGGTGTACTTTGTAGTAGCCTTGGAAACTCGGACATTGATGATACCCGACAAGCGGGGGTGCTCAGTTCGAGTCAAAGAGTACCGCGGACCCGCACGTGCAATGGCAAAAGTTGGCTGCATTCATCAAACTCAGATTGTTAACGATCAAACCGGAATTCAAGTCAGCAACATGACCCCCCAAATCATTGCGTCACTGCCGCGCCGCACTGACGACTACGTACTGAAATATAACGTTATTATTGGAAGATAAATAAAAAAAAACTCACGAGGGGGGGTGTAAACTTGTGATTTGTCATACCAAGTGACCGTGATCGCATACTTCGTATCTTATTCTCCTGACTTGACTGCTTTAACTTCATTCTCACTATTAACATTTGCTCTTTCTTCTTCACCATCGTCGCCCACAGTGGGTCCCTGACTTTTGTTAATCCCTAGCTCATTCTCCCTATTCTACCACATCAAAGATTCCATAATCTCGTCATGGAGTTCCCGACTATGAACAACTTCTGGGATCTATCGCAAACTCCATCTCAATTCTCTCAGCTTGGCGACGACGACTTTCTAGCTCTCCTTCAAAAACAATACCCAAATACAGTCCCTGACGTCAATGCCGCTGACGGCGCCGTAAACCCTCAGAGCATACAGAAACCCCCTCTGCCAGGTCATACACCGCCCTCTGATGATAGCAGCCCAAGCCCACCAAGTATACACAGCGTCAATCATCCACGCTCGAGGCATCAGTCTACTTATTCCCGTGGAAATGACAACGAGGAGTCCGCACTAAAGCGCAAAGCAAGCGATGACGACATGGAGGAGGGTCCAAGTTCAAAGAATCAACACACTGGTCCGTAATCTATTATTCCTCTTGTTTATCTCTGACGGCTAAGCCTTCATTTTCATATGCAGCTGATGACCCAAGCGACACAAAAAAAGGGTTAGCATCCAGACGAAAGTCGGGGTCTCAGGTTCGTACTCCCCTCGCCTTCCAAAGCTACAATCAATTCAATTCACATTATCTCAAGGATGACACACGGCTCCTCAAGCGAAAGGAACAAAATCGTGCTGCTCAACGTGCTTTCCGAGAACGAAAGGAAAAGCATGTCAAGGATGTGGGTTAACCAATTTAATTCAAATCCGTTGCTCTTGCTCACGGGCCGTAGTTGGAGGATAAAGTGGCCGCTCTTGAGGCAAAGAATAAGGATGCGCTAAATGAAAATTCCAATTTACGAGATCTTCTTGCACGCCTTCAAGAGGAGAACCTTGCTCTCAAGCAAGCCCAATTCACATTTTCAATGCCGAAACCAATCGATCATTCACAAGCTTCTTCATCAGCGTCACCTTCAGTCCAAGCACCATTTAGCTTCTTTGGCTCCCCTCCAGCAGTACCACAACCCGCTCCCGCACCCCGCACTTCCTCCCCTAAGCCATTTAGCGACATTGATTGGAGTTCATTGACAACGTTCGATCCCGCATTACTCAATGCAATGGATGAAATTCCTTCAGGTCCAATGCAAGTCGATTCTTCGAATTCACCATATGGCCAATATGCCCTGCCAGCTCCCAACCAGTATAAGACTCTCGCCACTAATACATTCTTCATGTCGTTTGCCGATACCGATTCCAATTCGTTCAGTAATGGTCCTGTCAGCAATGAAACCATCAATAACACCTCTAACGGTTTGAATCAATTCCCGTTCAGTTTCCCTTCACCTTCGAATTCCTGGAACAGCACAAGGAATGGCCATTCCCCAGCAGAATTCTCACAACCATCAGCTCATTCCGACTACATGCAAAACCACAGCCTAGACGAGCTTTTCGGTGGGACATTCATGAACGGCCAAGGACCTGTTGACTTCAGCACACTGATGAAGAGTCCGCCCGCACCCACCGGAAGTCCCGTGACACACGCAAACGGGAATGGGAACGGGAACGCGCAATCACCATCCAGTAGCATATCCTCACAAAGCTCCATGGCTTCCCCCCTTTCCGCACATCCCGCACCGTCACCGTCGTCGGCTAGCACGTCAAACGGTCAAAGTCCATTCAGCTGGACGATGTCCCGACAAGACGCCGAAAGTCCACCTTCGGCGTCCGAGCCGTCATCCAATATAAATCCCGGTGGGCCCATTATATCGAGAGAGGATATCGCCAAGCATATAGTTGCATCCGGTGACTCGCCATTTACGAGTCCGCCATTCTCACAGCCTACGGTGCGCAAGACAAGCGACTTTTCTCAAGGTGGGAGTATGATCTCTTGCGAGGGCTCACAATTCCCGAAGACGAAGGAGAGTCCGGCGAATATCGATGTTCTGAAAGCGTGGCGGACAATCACGTCGCATCCTCAGTTTAAGGTCGGCGTCTAATCGTTTGGTAGGATGGCTTTTGTTGACGCAAGTTCTTTAGGACGCCGATATCAATCACCTATGTACGGAGTTCACAAAGAAGGCACGATGTGATGGGACAAAGGTTGTTTTAGAGCCAGAGGGTGTGCATCATATCTTGGAGACATTCAAGGCAAAGTCATTGGCTCAACAGCAGCAAACGTCTTCCAGTTGACCGAACTAGCACTCATCGATTCCCATTTGTATTATGCATCGCTAGACCATCATTTATCCTGCTTTCTCACACTTTATTCTCGCATCTTGCTATATTTTTCTATGTAGTATTTCCTGACTATTGCATCGCCGCGGTGTATGCGTGAGGGTGGTATATCACAGTCCGGTTTATTGTACAATGTGTGGTCTCGGGTTGTTGAATGAAAGCCTTCGCTTGTAGATCCTACATACAAGCTTTTCAATAATTCGCCGTGCGTGCCTTCTCCTTGGACACACGTCAGCCCGAGAACCAATGCTGAGATAAAGACTCGAACTCACGAAATGCTTGCTTCTCTTGTCCCGGTTTATTGAAGAAAAGGTTTCGCTTGTAGATTCCAGATACGAGCATACTCTCCCCCTTTCCTTAATAGTCCATCGTGCGTACCTTGTTCCTGGAGGGATTCGTCCATGTACCTGCAGACCATATCACTTTTGCGTTCAATATTCAAGAAAAACCAAAACTTACAAAATGAGGTCTGCATGTCGAGTGAGATTCCCGAACCGGTGAGTGGAGAATATCATTGTCTTGTCGCCCCTCAACTGCAGCAGATTCTCAAAGAGATCTAATTCCGGAAGGTATAAAACTCTCAAACTTGACCCAGAAACAGGGAAGCACACCGTTTTCAGCCGTAGGGTCCAAGGAGGCGCTCGGCTCATCGAATAACAGCATGCCAGCGGAAGAGTTGTTATCGGTGACCAAGGAACGCATGAATGTGCGTGAGCTAGTCATTTCTTAAACAGTCAGCACAGGCACCCGAGAGATCAAAGCATGGTCATGTACACTGCGAGCCGCTGGTTTTGCCCACCGCTGAGGTCTGAAACAGTGGAAGTACGGAGACCCCCCATATCGCGCACACTAGAATAGTCAACAGTAGCGCCTTCAGGGATATCCGCGTAGTAATCTTCTACAGGGTGATCAATGTAGGTGTTGAATCCGTCTGGGAGCTCCTCAATGAAGTCTCGTGCGCCGCCCATCTTAGCAGCTTCACAGATCTTGTCATCATCTTGTGCGAAACCGGGGTTGCCAAGTCCAATGTTCTCGCGTATCTGAGTATGCTTAGGCATATTGCGCTTCTGAATTTTGTGAAGATTACACTCACCGTGAGGGGAAAGTTCGTGTAATCTTGGAAGAGGATGGACATGGCAGCACGGAGGTCAGCAAGTCTAAGGGTTTTGATATCGCGGTCATCGATAAAAATCGTACCCTCTGTCGGGTCATAGATGCGAGAAATGAGTTTCAAAATTGTGCTTTTTCCGGAGCCATTCCCTCCGACAATTACCTGCAATCACGGTTATACAGAGGATAGCAAAAGTGGAGGGACTTACACAAAGCTGACTAGCCTCGACCCTGAATGAAACATTCCGGAGAGCATACCTCTCTTTATCGGGGTACTGGAACGATACATTCCTGAAACATTATATGCCTCAGAAACGCCTACAAGAAGCAACGAATAGTAGAGGCACCTGAACTCTACAGAAATGCCGCTGCTGAGGAACTGCTGGTTCTCGGCTAACCGTTCCGTGCCATCCACCACCTTGTTCTGCACATTTTTGATTTCATATAAATTGCGTATACCAGCAAATACTGAAGCAAGAGTATACAATCCGTACGGGGAGAAGTGTGTTGAAATGAATGAATTAGATGTGTGTTCGATTAGCACGAGTGACACAAAAGAGAGGGGAATCGTCGTCGGCTTTCGCATGATGCTCAGCATGAATGCGATCTGGTTCATTGGATCAGATTCATCGACTGCCTTGTCAATCTTGCCTACCTGAGGCAACTCGTGCATTGTTTCATGGAACATGGAGGCGACGCTCAGGCGCTTCTTCGTGGAATGAGCCTCATACACTTCGTCAAACTCGGCCGCATCGTCGCCGACGCGCTGAACGGATTCGTGAAATTCTGGTTCATGATAAGTCCATCAGATAAGGTTGTCTTGGAAGGTATGTCAACATACGTGAAGTAATATATTCGCTCAGGTTGCCTGCGACAAGCTCCTTACGGTGTGCAGAGCTAAGGTTGAGTACCCTGAGGCCTTGCATGCGAATATAATCATTATTGGTCGTGGTCGCGGCCCAAACTACATGGATTCATGACTCAGACGAGTCTATTATGGAGCGTCGATTTTTGACCTACCCCCCATGCCAGAGAAAATGTCCCCCGATGGTCGTGTCCTATACCAGCGAAACATAGATTGCGAGAAGCCAAGAATCACAAGAAGTGGTCCATTCTGCTGCTTCCGCAAGACTGCATACAGAACAAAAAGCTGAGAGAGCATAGTAGTGGTTGTCGTTGCGAGGCTCGCCAACCTCCGAACAGCGTCCCATGCAAGGGTGATCCCATTCGGCATTTGCTGTGTCGCAGAGCTGAGTTGTTTCAGGACAGCCGGGTCTGTAAAAGTGGGTAGGTCGAGGCGGGCCGTCGAGTAGAATGTGTGAGTAGTGTAATACTGTTTGATGGACATGTTTATGGGAATTTCCATGCGTCTTTGGATATGTCTGAGAAGATGCGACGCAAGTGCGCATGTAACACGTCCTACTGCTACATGAATGATTACTGTTGTGTCAACAGTAGGTGTCTCCATCGCAGTTTCAACCTAGGTTCAAGATAAGTGTGAAGTAAATTGGAAACAAAGATAGCACTACAAGTCGGAGTAATTGTCCATCGTACCTGCATAAATATGATGTGAATATGCAGGGAATCACTTAAATCTTTGTGACATACCACAGGGAAACGGCAGGTATAAGAGAGTCTAAGACTCGCACTACCAAATATGCGGGAAGAAGTTTCCGAACTCGTCTGATGTTGAGTATTTCCTTGAACATGCGGGCTACGTAGGGCGTATTATCGCGTATCTGGACCAACATCCTCAACATTGATGAATTTGGACTGCGTGGTAACTCTTTTCCAAGTTCCTCATAGAGGTCCCATATACCAAGACGAGTGCGCGTGATCGTGACAGGGGGGAGGTCTGGACTTGTTGCCATTCGTATCTTTTCCGAGTCTGACTCTGGTGGGAGAGCAGAAGTACGTTGAAGAATTATATATGGTTTGAGAGGAAGGCGCTAGGCGAATCCCGAATACTACACTAGCACTATGCTGCAAAAGGACTGAGCCTGTCATCAGTTGGATCATCGTACTCCGAGTCGTTCTTTCGGGAAGTATCAGGTGTTGAGTTTTTCCATAAGACTCGGACACGTCCGTCGAAGTACAATCAAACGTAGATGTACAGGGAACCCATAGTAACACGCAGTGTGAATGTTTGACGTAGGTCGAAATTTGGCAGGCGAAGCGAGGAGTTTGAAATTTGACAGATGCCAGTGATGGCGGAGGTACACAGTACTTACGAGTCATGTAGAGTGCAACATGAAGTCCATGACTGTCATCCGAAGAAGTTTGAGGACTGCAAGGATTTTTCGTCAATGTCGAGGCTTGAAGGATTGACAGTCCAAATCAAAGGCTCAACAGGTGGCTGATATTGTGGCATGGGCAGGTGAAAGGCATGAAAAGATATTATGTTGTGAGGTTAAGTGTCTGACTAGTCCAGACTGGTTACGAGTCTATCACGTGCAGCTAATTTACCCTAGGCTACAATTGTTCCGTATCATAGGTAATACAATAAGCGCTGTGCCGCCGCATCTGTAGCTCAAGATACCCACAGTGCCCATATCCTTGTGCAACACCGTCGAGGTCCACAACAATGGAAGAAGAAACAACGCAACCTATCACTATAACAGATGCGCCTGATCGAACATTTGAAAATACTAATACCGTACTTGCAGTCGCAGTCTTTCCAGATCAACGACATATGGTGACAGGCTCAACAGACAAGATGCTTCGCCTGTGGGACATGGAGAATGGCACAGATTTATTCAAGAAGATGGAAGGGCATCGAGGCATGGTACGGGCAGTGACAGTATCGCAAGCCAGAAATTTGATAGCAAGCGCCGACCACGGGGACATAATCATCTGGAATAGAGATACTGGCGAATCTCTCACTCCTGCCATCAAAGCCCACCCCACTGAGTCATACATCCGTTCGTTGGACTTTTCACTGGATGGCAAAACGTTGGTGTCTGGTTCATCAGACCACATGACGAAGTTGTGGGACACAGAGACGTGGCAGCAACGAGGAAATCCAATCAACTGTAATGCGGAAGTTTATAGCGTTCGATATTCACCATCAGGCGAACTACTTGCCATTGCTACAACCTCTGATATTCAAATTTGGAATTTGGGGACAAGGGAATGCAAAGCAACCTTCAAGAATCGCGTGCACAAAATCTACGTAGGAACCAGTTTGCCACTTACTTGGAAGCCCGATGGCACAGGGCTTCTCTCAGGCGGCTGTAGACCAGATCCAACCATACGGGAATGGGATCTATCTACCCCGGGGCAGCAGGTCGGCGATCCCTGGGAAGGCCATCGTCACGATATCAACGCCATTGCCATGAACTCTGATGGTACGCTAGTCGCCTCCGCGTCTACAGACCATGACGTTCGCCTCTGGCGGCTCTGGGATCGAAAAACTATCGCTATATTCCGGCACTCCAGCAGCCAGGTGCACTGCGTGACATTTACTGCAGATGGCAAACGCATCCTTAGTGGAGGTGATGACAAGAAAATTTCAGAGTGGTCAATACCCGAACGCGCTTTGTGTGATGTTAAGGCACGTGTCTATTCTTGATTTATAGCTTAATGTAACCTTCTCCGTGCAGATCCTCACTATAAACCCATGCATAAAAAGGGACTTATCTACAGCTGAAGAACTGCTAACAAAAGAGATCGATGCTGATCCCAACAACTACAACTCGTACGCCAATCGCTCATTTGTCATGGCGCGGAAGCACGACTGGGGCCGTGCGCTTGATGATGCTTCCAAGGTTAGACTGATTTGCCCATGTTGGCCCGCATCATGAAAGTTGATTTTAGTCATGACAGTCCCTCACTATTCGACCCTCCCTGACAGGCTATATCTCCAAGGGCATTGCCCTCGGCGGGAAAAAACAGGTCTGGGATGCAATCAGGGCATTTGACCTCGCTTCTATGTTCACGAACGGAGATCTGAATGCCAATCATCTCCTTCTCTTGATCAAGGTAGGTTCGATGATTCTCACATACTCCATAGTCCATTGTTATTTTCAGGCTATCACACTTTTTAATGCAGAACAGCATCAGGAGGCACTTCTGCGCGTCCAAGAGCTGACTGAAGCTTGTCCGAGAGCCGATACTCGTGCGTGTTTGATTGTGGAAGTGAGTAAAATGCTTCATCAAGCCCAGGCCCGCACATTGGTACTGATTTTCTTGAAACTTCGTACACCAGGCATATCTATGTCTTCAGCTCGGAATCCGTGCCTCAGATAATACGTGTCACGATGAGGCTGTTACACACTTCACTGCTGCTATCAAGGCCAGCGATTCCTCAAGCAAATTCGCTATTTATTCCAAATATGATGACTTTGTCATGGTGCGTTGGTGTGACACAACCAAGAATATTTTTCACGATCAATTATATGCTTTCTACAGCTCTTTGGCTGGGACCTCACATCCCTGTGGGAAACTGCAAATAAGAAACGGTGCCTTGCACTTCTTCGGGCAAGCAGGCTTGAAGAAGCCCTCGAAGCACACCGATACATGATGGACAAATGTAACGAAAGTACAAAGGCCAACTGCCTTGATTGGTCTACTGGCAAGTTTTCTGTAACGTCAATCAGGTACACTCCTCACCTCCATTCCACGCAGCTTTCAAGCGTCAGTGTGGTGACCGCTATGCTCATGACGGACATGCAGCGTTCAGAGCGAGAGCTTATGAAGAAGCTATTAACCTATATTCGGCGGCAATCAACCTGGGCGTCGTAAGCGACATCATTTTGGTGAGGCGGGGTGAGGCGAAGTTGGAAAGAATGCGATGGGAAGATGCACTTCCCGATTTGCAACAAGTGCGACAGCATTCGTTATTTTGTGATCAAACACTCATTTTTGTGATACATAGGCAATCGAACTCAACCCTTCCTCGTATACTGGATACAAGTTGAAGTGTGCAGCGCTTCGCGGCTTGAAACGCTTTAATGAAGCCATCGACGCCTTCGAAACCATGCACAAGTTGGGCATCACTTCCGGATCGGAAATACGAAGTAAGTTTCAAATAACCCACCTGTCAACAAGCTTGACTCTTTCTTCAGAGTTACACCAAAATTATCTTGGTCAATCAAAAGCAAAAGAAGTCATTCAAATGGTTATTAAGGATCAATTAGAAAACGCGCCGCTTCGTCTAATCAACACCACCACTGGGTTATTATGTGATCGAGATGCGCAGATAGACGTATTCAGCGCAAGCTCGGAGTACATTGAGCTCTTGTTATCCACAATGGAACGCGCAGAACATCGAACGGAGCACATCGAAAAAGTGGTAGAGCAGTACTTCCGTTGTGTCACGCTATCACATAGGTGGGAAGGAAAAGAGCAGACACTGCGCGAGATCCAGGATAGGCCCATATACAGTTTTGATCCAGTTGGGACTGTTGTGAAGTTGCAGAGGTTCTGCGAAGTCGTTCGTGATTTGGGGTATCACTGGGCATGGATGGACACATGCTGCATCGACAAGCAGTACAATGTGGAACTCGAAGAATCACTCAATTCCATGTTTGTCTGGTATCGCCACTCAGCGCTTACGATCGTCTACCTGTCGGATGTTCGCGAGTCTGGCGCACTGACGAACAGTGATTGGAACAGGCGAGGATGGACGATTCAAGAATTACTGGCTCCCAAAGTCATTCTTTTCTATCAGAAGGATTGGACACCATATCTCGACGACCACTCTTCTAACCATAAAATGTCTACTGCTATCATGCAGGAGTTGGGGGCTGCGACGGGCATAGATCAAGAGTCCCTCACCAACTTCCATCCAAGCATGAGTAATGCCCGAGAGAAACTCAAATGGGCGTCGACGCGTACCACAACGAGGAAGGAAGACATCGCATACTCATTGTTTGGTATCTTCGGCGTCCGCCTATCTGTCTATTATGGCGAGAAGGAGCAATTCGCGCTTGGACGGCTCTTGCAGGACATCGTGGCTCAGTCGGGTGACATTACTGCCCTTGACTGGGTCGGAAAACCATCAAAGTTTAATAGTTGTCTGCCAGCTGAGATCGCCTCGTACCAGTACCCGCCATATGTGCCGCCACCTCTTTCCGAAGATGAAATCCAGACGTCAGTCTCTTCACTGCGAGATGTCGTGTCTGTGGATTCCGCTTCGGAACTTTATGCCCTGCTTAACAAACAATCCCCTCCTCGTTTTGCGTACCGCCGGCTGCAACTACCCTGCATGGTATTCCGTGTCACACATATCAGACAGAACCCCACTCAAGATAAACAGTCATATATCACGTATGAAGTCAAGGCAGATGGGCTGCGTGATCTATCGATCAAAACGAAGGATCAGCTCAAGCAGTTTTGGCCTGGACGACTGATGCAAACAGAAGTCCTACTTGTCCGTCCTTGGAGCCGTCATCTCCTCGAGCTGTCTGCGTTGGCAGACGAATCGCAGAGCGTTGAGGACACATCCGAACCCCAGTCTGCTTTGCCAGATCTGTCCGACGGGTCTCTTGGAGAAAAGGGGACGCTTCATCTGGATTCTTACTCACAAGCATTGCGATTGATTGTTCGCCTTCGGCAGCAATTCAATGCATTGTTGCTATATCAGCAGCTCGGCGGGGAATATAAGAGGATCGCGTCGGATCATGATATCATTGCGCACGTTGCAGAAATGTCTTCTATTCAGGATATGATGGACGTGAGGACACTAGAGATATTGTAGATTATAGATTCTGAAGGACAGATTGACCCGACTCAATTTCAAGTTGACAAGCATTTTTACTTGTGCACGCTATATCATCATTTATCCTACTTTCTCACATTTTGTTCTATGTACGGACGATAAGCTTGATGTTATTACATAACCTATGTTAGTAATCAAGTACGTACCTTGCGTAGGGTTTCATCATTTTCATGTCTGTCCTCGCACCCTTGGTCGACCAGGATACCATCATCGTTCCATCCTTTACACTTGAGAATGGGAGGATATTGCGGGAGGTCCCGGTCGCCTACAAGACTTGGGGTAAATTGAGTGACGGTAGAGACAACGTTATGATCATATGCCACGCATTCACTGGCAGCGCGGATGTAGAAGATTGGTGAGATCTTTTGACATTTTATTTCAAAACATTTCTTATGCATCCCAGGTGGGGCCCTCTTATCGGTCGTGGGAAGGCCTTTGACCCCAATCGTTTCTTCATTTTCTGTGCTAATGTTATGGGTTCACCATATGGATCGGCTTCTCCTGTGACAATCGATCCAGAGACGGGGAAGCCTTATGGCCCAGAATTCCCTCAGACATCGATACGTGATGACGTGCGGTGAGCGGTCTCACGATATCTTGAATGGTCTCTGACCTGGTTCATTGACAGACTGCATAAGCTCGTTCTTGATCATCTTGGAATTTCTAGTGTCGCTGTAGTCATTGGAGGCTCCATGGGCGGAATGGCTGTACTCGAATGGCCTATGTGCACCCCTCCAGGTTATGTCCGCCATATTATTCCTTTGGCTACGTCTGCACGACACTCTGCGTGGTGTATCAGTTGGGGAGAGGCACAACGTCAAAGCATTTATAGCGATCCACTTTATGACGACGGATACTATACGAAACAGCCTTCGACGGGTTTGGCTGCTGCTCGGATGGCCGCACTTTTAACCTATCGGTCGCGCGACTCTTTTGAGAGTCGCTTTGGACGTCGCCCTCAAGTTACCCCTGTCCCGGAATCTAGCGCTGTCGCACCTTCTATTACGCTCGCTGATAAGGATCTTGCTGCTCATAATGAGGGTCACCAAAATGTGACCCGTACACGCCCCAAAACTCAACACTTAACCGCATCATCTCCGCCTCATTCTCCAACAGAAGGGCCGGACGGCATGAGACATAACTCACCCCCTCCACTTTTTTCAGCGCAGTCATACTTGCGCTATCAAGGTGCCAAGTTCGTGGCGCGCTTTGACGCTAATTGTTACATCCATATCACCCGCAAGCTGGATACGCATGATATCGCCCGAGGACGGACCTCCACTCCCGAAGATGCTCCATCACCGACGGCACAATCAACTGCACTTGCCGCTGTCATTGCAACTCTCCCCCCGCGTGCATTGGTGATCAGCGTCGAAACAGACGGCTTGTTTACTCCTTCTGAACAAAAGGAACTCGCGACACACATACCTGACGCAGAACTTGTAGTCATCCCATCACCTGATGGCCACGACGGCTTCCTCCTCGAATTCGAGCAAATCAACACGCATATTCTTAGGTTTCTTAGAAGGGAGTTTCCAGGTTTATATGAGAGAGGTGATGAGGATTTTTCCAAGGGGGACTTTGTAATCAAAAAAACGAGCCTGTTTGGAGAAGCTGAGGTCGATATCACAAGGTGGTAGGGCTCGCGCAACCGGCCATGTCTACTCGCCCCAGCGTCAATACCAAGTACTAATATGGTTTGAATACATGTGTCAGATTCTATAGACTTAGTTCCACAGAAACCTAGATATAGTAAGTAGACGGTGTGATGTGTAAGATTTATGGGACATGATATTAGCTGAAAAGTGTGATAATGTTGTAAACTCGAAGGACGCATGTTTGAGTCCTGCAGATGGCCGTGAGACTGGGAGCAATGAGCCGAAGCGCAGATGATTACTAGTAGTAGTAGCGTTAGGCACGGAGTCCGGGACGTGAGTAGATTATTGTCGAGCTTTGACTTCATCAATAACATAACACCTCAAACATGGTTCTCTTGACATTTGCGCCATCTCCTACTGGTGCTCTTCACCTCGGTGGACTCAGAACCGCTCTCTATTCGCGGAGGCAAATGGATTCTTAGAATAGAAGACACTGACGCGGTCAGTTCCATGTTTCTCTCGTGGCAAAAACTCATATGTGACCCAGGCGAGATATGTACTGACCGCGGTGGATAATATTAGGAATGCATTAGCATGGGCTGGTCTTCCGTATGACTTCGGTAAGGTGTATGTTACATTCTGGCTCAAAGCAGCTCAAATAATCTTCATCTAGGTCCTGGGATGGATGGTCCGCATGGGCCGTATTTTCAAGTCGGTATCTCACAACCTGTTGATGCCCCGTATACTAAGCTCCGCTAGTCAGAACGACGCGACCTTTACCATTCTTATACACGCAGGCTCGTCGTGTGCTAATTGCTTCTCCCTTCTTTATCTAACCATTGCTGTTTCATAGTCTGGTCACGCATATCGGTGCTTTTGCTCTGCCAATAAACTTGCTACCACCCGCGAGAAGCTTGCACGCGCAGGGTCCAATGCCACGTATGACAAGTCCTGCCTCCATCTCACCGAGGAAGAAGTTGCACGGAGAGTACGTGCTGAGGAGAGGTCAATTGTCAGACTGAATGTGAGTACATCTATTGTGTTGTCAGACCTCATGCTTACAGGTGACAGGGTGACAACCTCCCAGACCATGCTTCACCTACCGATATGGTCTTCGGTATCCTGAGGGATACACATGCTTCACTTCCAACAAATCCCGTTCTTCTTAGATCTGATCTGTTCCCCACGCACCATTTGGCGTCTGTTGTGGACGATCACGAGATGAACATCACACACGTTCTCCGCGGAGAGGTAGGTCTCCATACCTCTATGACACGACGTCCTTTGAATTTCATGCATTCCAGGAATGGCTACCTTCACTACCCCTGCACCTCGATCTGTATTCTTATCTGGGTCTCAAACTCACTCGGTTTGCACATTTGCCCATCCTCTTGAATCCGAAAAGATGTCAAAGCGCAATGGAGATGTGTCTGTCTCAGACTTTATGACACGCCGCTTTCATTTACCTACGAACTTTGATTTGAACGCCCATTTTCCATAGCGCCGTGGTTGGGAACCGGAAGGTGTTTTATATTGGCTTACACTGGCTGGATGGGGCGTGCACCACGAAAATGGGCATGTTTCCCCACCCAGAACGCCCTCGACTCAACCTCCTGACAGTACAACCCTTTTGACACTTCCAGAACTCATCGACCAAGTACATTGCTACTATTTCATGGTTTTTTTTGCATGTTTTACAACAGGTCTATTTGGTAGTATGATCTGTCTTTCGTTACGCATCGCAGGAATGTTCTTGATCCCGCAAAGCTTGCATACCTTAACAAACATCACCTCATGCGGAGCTGGAAAGGGCATTGCCTTCCAGGCAAGACGAGTACATGATATTGTCAAGGCCGCTTTCCCTGATAGGTATCTTGTTCGTCTATTAGTTATACCCTTATTAACTCGGCATTCCTAGTCAATACACAAATGTGGAGTACATCACGCGTGTGATCAGCGTCTTGCAGGTGAGCATGCGTTACCTTCTGGATGAACGTATAGATATAGTGCTCCCTGGGTCGCATCACAAATCTTCATGATGTTCCAACAATCGCTCCGTTCATTTTCGTAGAACCAGATTAAGAATTGCCCGAAGCGCGTTCCATGAAGCGAGGAATATCAGCCGACGACTACGGCAAGTCGCGCACTGTCAGTAATCAGCATTACTGATCGCTTTACATCATTCTAAACCATGTGCTACGACGAGTTATTCTGCAACTCGAGTCTTCATCGGCATCGACTCAATCGGACATTGCAGTTTTCTTGCACGATGCGTGCGAGAAAACAGGCCTGAAGTCAAAAGTCTTTAAGACTGCTTTGAGGTACGCGCTATCTGGGATGAAAGCGGGGTCCAGCCTCCCTGAGATTATCGATGTACTTGGCACCGAACGGACAGCAGGAAGGCTGAAATTGGCGCTCCAGCAGACCAGCGTTTCGAAATAAACATCATCGAATTTCTAATTGTCCATTTTGCACCTTAAGCTCGTATATAGATAAATAATTCAAACGACAACGACATTTTACTAAATTTCAAAAATTTCAAGAAAAGTTTGGCTGGTTTGCGCATGTTTCCGGTTTACTAAGCACTAACTACCGGGACCCTGACTCCTTAACTGCATGTAGTGGACCCGCCGTTAATATTAATACCTCCGTTCACGACGCTGCAGCAAGTCCGACAGGTGCAATCACGAACGTCATCAAAGATAATGGAGTCTTTCTGGCACCAAAACAGAAACGGATTTTCGTTGTTATAACCCGCGAGGTGTCCGCACTCGTACTACTGTCCTGAAAACACCCGTACTTAGTACGCGGTCTGAGGTCATGCTAAAGGTATTCACCAGGCGGACAGGGCATCCTGGAACGTGAGAGCGTGCCACATCAGCTGAAATCAATAAGTGGGTGCATACCGCGACTGCCGCAGTCTCTCCCGCTGATGGCGCGCCAGTACTGTAGTTCCATGTACATGTTAATTCAAATTTCATGTTTCTCCTAGATCCTCTCCAAGATCCGCGTCGTTGTGGAGGGCAGTAAGGGAACAGGAGAGGTGTTAATGACATTAAGACGGAATTTATTTTAATATTGGTGTCCCAGATGCAGTAATCACCCCAGGTATTTCAATATCCAGCCCTGTCCTTCGAAGTACAACAATGAAGTTCACAGACATAATCATCATGTCTGGTGTAATACCAGTACTGTGTGGTACAGTTATAGAACAAGTAGACCCATGCGACAAGCCTGGTGACTCGCTACAATATCTCTAGTGACCTAACGTCCGTCATGTTATGAATAGAAGTCATGTCTTTGACTTGTGCAATGATGTCTCGATCCGATGCGATTCTCTTATATTCTCTGCCACGCTGCTGCATTAGCAAAAATGCACTGAATTCCTGCCCAAGGCGAACAATCAATCGCAAATCTCGCGAGTAAGGGTCCAGATCAACTGGCCCCGAATTTTCGGTTTGTAAGGCGGACTGGGGAACGGACCCATCTTTAACTCTCTGCGTATCATCTAGGAGATGATGATTCCACGGGCGGACAAGAAATACGGCCTTTTGAATGGGTCGTGCCGGCGAAAAGAGAATGAGTTTCTCCCCCGTTCTGATCGAGAGATCATACAACCCATCTGCCTTGACTTCATATGACTGCCTGTCTCCAGCCTGGCTCCGTCTGATTTCTGTAACAGAGAATACTATGCAAGGAAGGTCTAGCCGACGATGCGCGAAACGAGGAGCGCTGAGATTGCTAAGCCGGGTATAAAGTTCCGAAGCCGACTCTGCCGTCACGTCGTTTCGCAGCATGGAGATCGATGTCTGAATTTCATCTTCGGACGGTGATGACAGCTTGCACGCTGCACCTTCGTACGATGTGATGCTAGCTGGCAGACAACTGTTGAACTCCGATGATTCTCCAGACCAGTCCAAGGCAGTGATGTCACCTGACTGAGCTACGATCTCTTGCAAAAGCCGTCCGAGTGCATTTTGCTTCCTCTCTCCATAGATCACGGGTAGGTGGATGTCGAAGATGCCGAACAATGAATATGCAACATCTTCTTGCACAGTGGTGACACGTGCTGACGCCCATCGCAGTTTCTCTCGGGCACCTGTCATTCCTGGATGAAAAGTAATGACGGTGTGTGCATCTATCCCCGTCGCATCCTCCAACTCCTGCATGATCGCAGCGGATTCCTTGTGGTTGGGAGAGTGGTCGTTGAGATATAAAGTCCAGTTACTTTGATAAAAGAGAATGACTTTGGGAGCCAGGAATTCTTGAACGGTCCACCCTCGCGAGTTCCAAGCACTCTTTACCAATGCACCAGCCTTGGACGAAGGTGGAACATCCGACAGGTAGACAATCGTAAGCGCTGAGTGGCGATACCAGATAAACATGGAGTTGAGCGATTCCTGGACCTCGGTATTGTTGTTCTTGTCGATGCAACACGTGTCCATCCATGCCCAGCGATAATGCGCCTCGCGAGCAATTTTGCAGAATGACTGCAATTTCATAATGCCTCCAACTGCCTCCAACTCGTATATGACTTTATCCTGTATGTCATGTAGCAGTGCTTCCTTTTCCTCCCACCGGTGTGAGAGCATGACACAACGAAAGTATTTCGTCACCACTTCTGCGATACGCTCCATTCGGAGGTCCATATCCTTTATTGTTGATGAAACAAGCTCCTTGTACTCTGTACTCGTTTTGAAGACGCTGATCTGCGCCTCTCGATCACACAAGAGCCCGGTGGCGGTGTCAAGTAGACGGAGTGGGGTGTCGGTGAGTTGATTGTGAATGACCTCTCGGATATCACGTTCTGCTTCGGCTGGACTACGATACTGTTGGCGCATTTCTGTACAAAGAAGTCAAGCGTCTCGATACATGTGATTATTTGGGACTTACGTCGTATTTGCGTCTCTGGGGCGTTTTCTATCTGAAGAAGCATGGTTTGGAAGGCCTCGATAGATGCATCATAGCGTTGTAGGCCGTGAAGCGCTGTATGTTTCAGCTCGTATCCAATGTGAGACGAAGGGTCGAGTTCAACGACCTATATGTCACAAAGATGAGCATTGTCTACGGAACTATAGATGATTCTCGTACTTTTTGCGCATCGAGAAGCGCATTCTCCCATAACTTCATGTTCACGTTTGCCTCACAGCGTTTTCTAAAGGTGTCGTTTGCAGCGGCCAGGTCGATCGCTGACGAGTAGAGGGTAATAGCTTTTTCGTAATCACTAGCACTGAGCGCGGCGTCTCCATCAGCGAGATAGAGTGCACTGCATTCCTGTTTGAAGCCTGTGTGTAATGCGGGTGAGGACTGGCGCGACTGACTTCACAGAAAACTTGCCAGTGGACCAATCAAGGCAATTGGCCTTTGTACTTTCATCACCCTTGTCCATCATGTATCGATGTGCTTCGAGGGCTTCTTCAACTCTACTTGCCTTAAGGAGTGCAAAACACCGTTTCTTGTTGGCAGTTTCCCACAAGGATTTGAGGTCCCATCCGAAGAGCTGCAAAGAGTACAAGGTTGGTCGTGAAAAGTATTTTGGCTATCAACGCACCACGACAAAGTCCTCATATTTGGAATGAATGGCTAATTTAGAGAAGGAACTGCTAATATTGACAGCGGCAGTGAAGTGGTTAGCAGCTTCTTTGTGACGCGCATCATCCGAGGCGTGGTTTCCAAGTTCAACGTGTAAATATGCCTGGTACGCGAAATTTAGTCAATGCACGGACTCGGGCTTGTATAATTAGACGATACTAACCTTCACAACCCAACACGCACGAGTATCAGCACTCGGGCAAGCTTCAGCCAGCTCTTGGACGCGTATCATCGCCTCCTCGTGTTGATCTGCATTGAAAAGTGCCGCAGCCTGAAAACAATGACAATGAACAATAATGAAGTATAGAGTATGTAAGAATCATTTAACTTGCCTTGACCAAGAGAAGGAAATGATTGGCCTTGATATCTCCGCCCGTAAACATGGATGCGAGGTCAAATGCTTTGATCGCGTCCCGGACCTGCTTTCTCCCGCAGAGGGCAATGCCCTTGGAGATATAGCCCGTGAACGAGGGTTGAATGTCGACGGACTATGTCACGATCAAAATTAGCTTTCGGTATGGGACCTTACAAGTCAGTCTAACCTTGGAAGCATCCTGAAGCGCACGGTCCCATCTACGCTTTCGTGCCATAACAAATGAGCGATTAGCATAGGAGTTGTATTTATTGGCAATGGCGTCGATCTCTCGTGTTAGTAGCTCTTCGGCTTTATACAAGTCCCCAGCTATGCATGCATTGCGTGCCATCGTGTTTATAGTGAGCATCTGCATGACAAAAGTCACAATAAGTCATATGAGTCAAGAATAGACACATACTTTGACATCACCCCCAGCGTGCTCGGGTACTGTCCACTCCGAGATCTTCTTGTCATCACTTCCGCTAATGATACGCTTGCCATCTACGGAGAATGCGATGCAGCGTACTAAGCTAGAGTGTCGGAATATGGCAATAGTTTTTCGATCCCAGAGCTGCCAGAGGCGAACATGGTGATCTGTAGACGCGGAGGCGACCAGAGTACCATCCGAGTTCACGGCAATGGCGTTGATGTCGTGGTTGTGACCCCTCCATGGATCACCGACCTGTTGCCCCGTAATTACATCCCATTGCCTTATGGTTGGATCCAATCTACAACCGCCTGAAAGAAGCCGTGTGCCATCGGGTATCCAGGCGAGTGGCAATGTGATCCCTACGTAGAGTTTGTGCATATGGTCCTTGAAGTGTGCTATGCGATTTCTTGTCCCCAGTGGATTCCAAATTTGGATATCAGAGTTTGTTGCAATGGCAAGTAGTTCGCCTGATGGCGAATACCGAACGGTGTAGACTTCTGCTTTACAATTGATTGGATTTCCTTGTTGTTGCCACGTTTCCGTGTTCCATAACTTCACCGTATGGTCCATCGAACCAGTCGCCAACATCATGCCGTCTGGTGAGAAGTCCAGCGAGCGGATGTATGTGGAGTGGGCTTTGATGGCAGGAGTGAGAGATTCGCCACTGTCTCTGTCCCAGAAAACGACCTCTCCATTGTCAGCGCTAGCTATCAATTGTCTGTCTTGTGATGCTGCCACTGCCACTGCTCGCACCCGGCCGTGATGTCCCTCTATCTTCTTCAGCACAGTGCGATGCTCCAAGTCCCACAGACGAAGCATCCTGTCTGCCGAGCCCGTCACCATATGTCGTCCATCAGGAAAGACTGAAAGTGCGAGTACGGTATCGGTATTTTCATGATCTTCAAACGTTTGAACAGGTTCGGTCTTTGGAACGATGGGCTGGTCCGCTTCTTCTGCCATTGTGACAAGCTTGGTGGTGTTGAGCACGGACGATAAGCACTGGGTATCTACAGATGGCGGCTTACTCGGCATCTTTATCCTTCTTCGTAGCGCCCAAAGGCTGTTTCATAAGACGCACAGCCATGAGGCATCATTTCCTCTTAAGCTTACTATCAGAACTGTATCTATGGCGAATTTCTTAGTCTTCCAACGCTAGGCTGTGGTGATCAAATGATGTGATGAATGTGTAGTGTTATGATAACGCCATTTCTCGCGGATATTGGTGTTCGAAATGGCCTTGATATAGGGATTGTGAGTGCCCTGCTCTGGCTAGATGTGTGCATTGGGGGTCTTTGCCTCACATCGCCTTTGTGCATGAGTATGGTATCAAAGGGTCTCGTTTGCCACGTGCCACCGGCTTGTGACTACAGGCGCGAGAGGCCGTGCATGCATTAACATTTCAGGAATATTGTGTGAGATGTCCTTGTACGCATTTAGCTTGAGTGAATGACTGTGTGGCGCACTACGATAAGATTCACTGACACGCACTGCCATGGGTTGGAGTTTGGACAATTCCATGTATGGGCGCACGAGTGGTTCCATCGCGGTATTGGTTAGCGTGCAGTCCGTCTCTGGTTCGTTAAATGAAAGCTCGCGCTTGTAAATTCCAAATACGAGCGTACTCTCCCCCTCTTTTCAATAAATCGTCATGCGTGCCTTCTTCCTGGACAACAGATTCGTCCATGTACCTGTAAGGCCTATGTTAGCACCATCATTGAGATGGAAGCAGACTAAAATTCACAAGATGAGATCTGCATGTCGGGTGAGGTTCCCGAATCGATGCGATGAGAATATCATGGTCTTGTTACCCCTCAACTTCCTTAGGCGCTCGAAAAGATCTATTTCGAGAGAAGTGTCAGTTATCCTAAATTGGGTATGTACTGCAGCGCACCATGTTCGGCCGTAGGGTCCAAAGAGGCGCTCGGCTCGTCGAATAACAACATGCCTGCAGAAGACTCCGTCTCGGAGACCAAAGAGCGCATGAACGTGCGGGATCTATTCGAACAGTCAACACTGGCACCCTGGTTTTGTTTGAAACAAAAACGTACACTGCAAGTCGTTGCATCTGCCCACCGCTGAGACTGGAAGCCTCAGAAACACGGAGACCTCCAACACCTCGCACGCGGGAGTAGTCGACCGATCTACCAAAGAGCGTCGTGGTGCCTTCAGGCAGGCCTGCGTAGTAGTCTTTAACTGGGCGGTCAAGGTAGGTGTCGAATCCGTCAGGAAGCTCATCTATAAAGCGTTCTGCGCCGCCCAAACGAGCAGCTTCACGGACCTTATCGAGGTCGTGTGCAAGGGCAGGGTTGCCAAGTCCGATATTCTCGCTTATCTGTGTCTGTCAGATATTTTGCGTCTGGGATATACGAGGGAGAAGCTCACCGAGAGGGGAAAGTGCGTGTAATCTTGAAAGAGAATGGACATGGCAGCGCGGAGGTCTGTTAGTTTGAGGGTCCTGACGTCACGGTTATCGACAAAGATAGTACCCTCTGTTGGGTCGTAGATGCGGCAGATGAGTTTCAGGATTGTACTTTTGCCAGAGCCATTCACCCCCACAATAATCTACAAGCACGGTGAGGAAGAACATCGCAAAAGATGCGGTACTTACGCAAAGCTGACCAGCTCCAATTGTGAACGAAACATTCTGGAGAGCATACTTCTCCGCACCAGGATATCGGAACGAAACATTCCTGGGATACATGCATCAGAAACGGTTGAAAAACATCAAGAATAGCAATCAACCTGAACTCAACAGAAACACCATTCTTGAGAGCCTGCTGGTTCTCGGGAAACGATTCTGCACCATCCACTACCTTATTCTGCACGTTCTCGATTTCGTATAACTTGCGTACGTTGGCAAACTGCTCCGCGAGAGAGAATGACTCTCCGAACAGCGAGAAAAGCGTAGTGCTGAACGAGTTGGATGTTTGATTGATTAGTGTGAGTGATGCCAACGAGAGAGGAATGGTCATTGGTTTTTGTACTGCGCGTAGGGTGAAGACGATCTAGTTGGTTTGGTCAGCTCCTTCAATTTCGAAGTCGGTGTTAAATACCTGGGGTAGTTCGCGCATTGGTTCGCGAAGGACGGACGCGAAACTCAAACGATCTTTGATAGTATGAGCTCGACGCAACTCTGGGAACTCGCCAGCATCATCGCCAACGCGCTTGGCGGATTCACGGAATTCTGGTCTCGGTACGCGTCAAAATAAGGTTGTTCGACAAGATGCATCGACATACGTGCAGTGATATATTCACCGAGGTTACCTGCGACAATTTCCTTTCGGTGTGAAGGGTTGTTGACCAAGTGCTTAAGGCCTTGCATGCGAACATAATCTTCGTTAGTCGTGGTAGCCGCCCAAACTATATGTCTGGCTCAATGACATGCTTTGAGTATGGGTTGCTGACCTACCTAAGGAGCCAAACACTCCTTTGCTTGTGCTGTACCACTGAAATATAGATTGCGAGAAGCTGAGAATTGCAAGGAGGGGTCCATCTTGCTGCTGGCGCAAAACTGTAAATAGAACCGAAACCTGAGAGAGCAGACGAATAACAGTCATTATGACGTTCGTTGTACTCTGGACGGTTTCCCAAGCAACGCTAGTGCCCCAAGGGGACGCCCATGCGGACTCGAGCTGTCTTTGAACAGCGGAATCTTCAAATGTGGGAACATCAAGGCGTGCCATTGAGTGGAATATATGCCCAGCATAGAATTGTTTAATGGACATGTTTATAGGGATGACGATGCGACTTCGGGCGTATTGGAGAAGACGCGTCGCGACCGTGCACGCGACGCGTCCTACTGCAACATGAATAAGAACTGTTGTGTCCACAGTACGTGTCTCTATTGCAGTCTCTACCTGGGTGAGAGATATATAAGCGGGCAGTGCAGACGGAAACAGAGGGTATTACAAGGCGCAGCAGTTGTCCGGAATACCTGCGCAAAGGCGTTTTGAATGTTTAAAGGTCACACAAAGCTTCAGGGCATACCATAAGGAGATGGCGGGTGTGAGGGAAGCTAAGACTTCCACCACTAGGAATACAGAGAGTAGCAGGCAGCATTGTTTGATGCTGAGTATATCCTTTAACATGCGCAGTACGTGGGGCATGCTCTGGACTATCTGTGCGTACGTCTCCAATCTTGATGAGCCTGGTATGCGTGGCATATCAGTCTGGCGATCCTCATAGAGGTCCCATACGCCGATGCGGGTGTGCTTGACATGCCGAGCATCCTCTGGGTCGAATGTGCCTGGACGTGTAGTCGTCGTTCGTCTCCTTCTCGCCATGCAACGTGGAAGAATAGGAATAAAGTCAAAGACGCGTTATAAGTGTTTGTGGACTGACTAAGAAGTTATGTTGAACTTGAACTTTTTGGCAAACCGACGCGTTCAACTAATTCTAAATTTAATGCATGACTACAACTCGAACTTGAACTGATCCAATTTGGCGTGTGTGGTCCCGTGACATGTTTTCATACCTTTTGTTCCCGAACATCATCTCCGGCGACTTAGCAAGCGTTGACCGTTTCCATCTTTCATACGCTGGAAACTTGGAGACCTGAGGAAACCCAAAGCTCTGGATCAACCAAGAATTATCTTAATCTAGTGCGCCATCGAGCTCGACAACACTAACAATGGCTTCCGACCTTTCTTCATTGCTGAACTCGTCAAGAGCTCTGAATTCGCATCTTTCACGGCCTGATCTTCCTTCCGTCAACCTTTCACTAGATCAGATAGAGGCACAGTCACGTCGGCTCGTGTCACGACAACCTGGAGCATCAAGCGATGCTGACCGAGCGTGAGCAAATAAACATGTCAAGCAATATGTTTTAACGTCCATGACAGAAACTACCTTTTGGCACAGGCCCATGTTGACGCTCCTGCCCTTGCTAACTCTATCGCACACTTGAATACCTCGACAACTTTCTCTCCCCTCCAGCCCCTCCAAGATACAGATGTTGCAGGCTATCTTCGTCATGCTCACGAACAGAATCTTATCTCAACAATAGAAGAAGGTCGTAGGGAAACCCAGGAGCATTTTTATCGTCTGCTTGAGGAGCGCAGCCATAAAGATTGGGAGGCCAAAAAGAGACGCGTGTTTGAAGAGCTGGGAGGTCGTGCTACCAGTGATAGCAAAGCTCTTGCTGAAATGAAAAAGAGCTTCCATGGAAAGGCAGCGCTAGCGGTCAGCTAGACTCTGAATATGCAGCGTTGATCTACTGACAATATAAAACAGGCAAGCACAGGACCCAGTTTGACTCTCCAGATGCAGAGTAAGATGATGGCATATGACCGTGCAATCAGCGAGCTGAACGCTGCAAGGTTGCGCGGAACATCTTGTCCCATCATCCATCTCCTTATGCAAGCTGCTGCCAGCTTAAACTCAGAGGTACGTATTTCTCACGTGTTTGTGAGTTGTCTCACTTTTGTGCATACAGCCTTCCTCGCAACAAATATTTCAAAACTTCCATGTGCTTGCAAAGATCACTGGTGAACCCCCTGCTCTACCCCCTGTGGAGCATGCAGGTGCTCACATCTTGAACGCCCCGCTTTTCGAGCGCAAATACGCACGGGTATACCTTGGGGATAGTGATTCCCGGGAGGCTGGAGCTCTGCGGACACAGATTGCCAAAGGCTCACGAGAGGCGCTTGAGGACCAGTTTTGGGATATCATTGAACGCACGATCCAGTCGAGACCTATGGAAGCCCGCCTTGGAGGAGACCCTAGTGTAGGAAACAAAATACGCGCCTTCCTGCTCATGAGATATTACAAAAACGGGCAGTGGGAAGATCGGATAGAGGTCGGCACAATTTATACTGAAGCTTTTGTCCTATCTGACAGTCACACAGCTTGTTGCTGGTCAGCCTTTGTGGGCTAAGCTGTACTACCTTGTACGCACCGGTCACGCACAAGAGGCCCTTGATGAAGCCTTGAAGTCGCAGCAAGCTATTGAAAATCGCGAAGACAGTTTCATGAGCCACTTCCGCTCATGGGTCGAGTCACCAGAAAGACGGTAACTTTTTTTCCATGAGAAATGATGTCTTTTATGTATCAATCACCTCTCCAGGTTACCCAAACCACATCGTGACCACTTGCAAACAGTATACAATGCGCACATGTTGCATTCTGCATCTGCAGATCCGTTTAAGCTTGCACTCTATAAACTCATGGGCAAACTCGAGCCTTCACGGCGAACAGTATCACAAGTGACAATGACGACCGAGGATTGGTTGTGGTTCCAGCTTGCAATGGTGCGCATTTCTTGTGGCAAAGAATGTAAGCTGACACGCAGAAGGTTGATGAAGAGGAAGAAGGTGGCCTCCGTGGACTCACTGAAGTCCTCCTGAGTTATGGAGAGCGCCACTTCGACGGTGCAAAGAAGGGTGTGTGGCCTGGTGTCCTGCTCATGTGCGGCCAGTTTGAGCGTGTAAGCATAACATCACACATATCTGAGTTCTATCCTGATCATATTCAAGTCTGTGGCTGCACTATGGGAGCACCCAGAAACAGAAATCGAAGCTGTTCACCTTGCTATCGCGCTTGCATACCATGGACTTCTACGTGTCCCGTCTCGTGCTGAAACATCTGACATCAGTCCCTGTACGTATGCACTCAAAATTTGCACCTACATGTAACACACCTAGATTTTCAGTAACCTTGTCCCCACTCTCACCTCCCGCACTCAGCTTGCCAATGCTCGTTTGGCGATATGTACGCCAGTTCGTTAAGATGGACGCGAAAGAAGCGCTGCAGTATGTCTACTGCGTCTGTCTCTCGGCGGATCAAGGCGACGGTGTCGGCAGAGAAATTGTAGAGACCGCTTGGGAGCTCGTGAGGCGCATCATCGTGCTCGCTCACTCAGGTCCCGCCTGGGAAGAGCTTGTCGGTGGATTTAGACCCGATGGCACGCGTTTCGTATGTTCCATTTCTTTATTCACTTACCACTATAAACATGACTCGCTTCTCCTGCAGAGCGGCATCATTGAACAGGGCGCTGCCCTTCTCCATCTACAAAATACCGCCCAGTACAACGAACAGATCCTCATCCGTGCCGCCCGCGATTCCGAGGAAAACGACCGTATTCCCGAGGCGATCAAGCTCTACAACCTCGCAGGGGACTACGGCACTGTCATTTCATGTCTTGCCCAGGCACTTGGCAACACCCTGGCGCAGCCAGCAGGTGAAACCGATAAAGGCAAAATCATCGAACGCACGGCTGTTGAGATTTTGAGACATTACGAGCGCACGAACCGGGCAGTGGGCAAGGATCGAGATGCTGCTGTAAGACTGTTGCGCATCAGGGAAGCGCTCAATGCGAAGGGCTCTGGGCGATTTGATGTTGTGCTTGAGGTACGATCTTATCCCAGTCTTTTAATCCCATCAGATACTGACGATTATTGTAGATTATGGAGTCCACGGATCTCATTCCTCTCGATGGGGATGTTGCAAAGATTACTCGGAAGGCCGAGGAATTCAAGGACTTGCACGATGCCTTGCAACGTAATCTACAAGTCTATTTACCGCTCACAATGGAGGCATTAGCGGCAGTACACCAATCCATCAAAAATTCTGCTACAGCAGAAACTACGAGGCAAATGGTTTGTATTCAATAGCTACATCATTCTTCGTGTCCTCACGATATTTTCATTGCAGACATTGACGACGCTTAGGAAAAAATCGAGGTCGGTGATGGTGTTTGCTGGTATCCTTAAGTACAGGATGTCGCCTGATGTGTACTCGTATCTGGCGAGATTGGATGTTGAGATTGCTTTATAAAATATGGTCAGAAGTAGTTCTGTATGTTGTCAATCTTTGTTTATAGCATTGTCATGAGATCCTGGAGAAACGGACCGCGCGCGCACCAGACTGCCATACCTGCACATCTCATCACTTGCTCAACATCAGTCTCATAGTTGATGGCCTGAGGACCATTATTCTTCTTATGATAATGTGATCACGTCGAGGCCATTTTCTCGTATATTCCTGAAGGACTGCTCTCTTAGCTCGTCGTCTTCCAAACACGCTATCGCATGCATATGCCCATCCACTCGTTCCAATGATGTCATTGAATTGCTCATTAATATACCACAGCCTCAGGTAGCTCACAGATGAGCAGTGAATGATCCCGTAACTTTGGGTCCTCACCTTCAGTTCCGTAGCACACCAGGGATCTGCACCTTTCCGATAACTATTTGGCAATTATCGCTGCGTAGGTACCAGATCTTCAGGATCATTTTCAAGAGCTTCATCATCATCTTCGTATTCCTGATGATCTTGCTCCTCGACATCCTCCTGATAGGAATGCTGATTTTGGCACTGCAAGCAGGCAGATGAGCAAGTAGTACTTTGCAACAAGCTCGCAAAGGACTTACATGGTATACTGCAGTCCAGTATCCGCCCCAATACATCGCACTTAGCGCACGGCTGAAAGCTTCGTCGCGGCTTACCATAGTGTTCGAAGGTGCAGGTATGAAAAACGAGGACTCGGGTGCCGCGGGTGCCTCAGATGGTACCGGCAGCGAAGGATCATACGATGGGACGAACGTGTCGAAATCAAGTGGAGCAGAGTCCTCCTCTTCAACTGCGGCAGCCTGACTGGCGGCCTCTGCAGACGCCACTTTTATTGAATTAGTTGCCTTGGCCTTCTCCTTCGAACTATTATAGGGGATGTTGTACCATCTGAACACAATTAGATCATATTTTTTATGAATAAAATTACGCACAGCGAAGATTTCTTGACAGTGGTCGACTTCCAGTCTTGCGTTTTCCCGTGAAATTCCTTGCAAGGATGTCAAGAGCGGCAGATGTAAGAGCACTTGCTGGACGTACCTCATATTCTGCTGTGGCAGAGTTCCAGGCATCGATGAGCGCAGAGTCGTCCCATATTTCTTCGTGTGTGAGCTCCCGACTCTCCTCCTCTTCAACTTCACCATCCTCACCATGGGTACTGGCGTCGTCGTCGTTCATTTGGTCATCTCCTGGTTCATACCAGTGGGCAGTTTTTCTGGGACGTTTGGCTTTTTGGTTTGACCTCTTGCGTTTTTTGGATGGAGGTGATTGACGTGGACGAGAAGCTGCTGCTGAGACAACACTGATTTGTTGAGATTGTTCTAGGTCGCCATACTGGACGAGTTGACGGTGCGAGTTCATGGTGAGATGATGTAGTAATACAAGACCACGCAGATTCATTTTGCTGCAATTCTACTGTGTTGAACTACTATGCATGGCCTACGGCAACAATATCATACATGTATTCGATTTCTGGATAATCTGTGCGTCGAGCACCTACTCGTCGTGTCCATCAATACCAGCACCATATGTTTCGCGAGCTTTGAGACATCAATTCCGATAGCTCAGGCGCATCAAGACTGCGTCAATTTCCCCTGGCTCAGGTAGTTGAGGTGAAGATGAAGACTCTAATGTCGAAGCTTGATGGAGCAGCGTAAATCAGTAGGCATACCAACAACTACTCGCCAAAATATTCCTCCACCAGGGCTTGTTTCCTGAGGGCTAATAACACGCCCTCCATTTCCTCCCTAGTAGGAAGTCTCGGAGACATCAGGTCTTCTGGTGATAAAAAGCCCACGTAAGCAGCGGCTGCGTTCGCGTGCGCGCGCATTGAGTCTGCGCCTCCAGATGAAGGGGCGACAGAATCCGCCGCGTCCATCTCGACATCTTTCCCCGATCCACGAGGTATGTCAGGTATTGGGTCGTCAATAGGGAGGTCAAGGATCTCGCGGACGTTCGTATATTCGTCTGTCCATTCTGCAAGATACATGTCAGAAATCGAAACCATCTACAATCTAGACACGACGTACCCTTTTCCTCTGCTTCACGCTCATGCTCCAACAATTTTCCATTTGCTTCGTCCAGGTCACCAAAGTACGCGGGACCTTGATTCATAAACTTGGAATAGAATGAAAGCGCTTGGTTTTCCTCCTCTTGCTCTTGCTTTTTGCTCTGAAAGAGCTCGCGCACGCCTGGGAGATCTTTAGCGCGGCCAAAGTACCTAACATTGTATCAGCGACAATTTAAGCTAAAAATCAAAAGGACGCACTTGTATCCTTTTGTCCCAGGTACTTCCTTCCCATCATCATCCAGCATGGCCACATTCCGACGATAGTTGGCACCTCCCAGCGCAATGATCTGGTTCTCCCAATGTCGCTTCTCCCGCATTAATTTATTTATTTCGTCGTTTACATCTCGAACTTCATAGTCGGTCAAACCAGCTATTGGCAAAGGTTCATGTCAACTCAGTCGAATTCTAAGTGTCCTGCGGAATGTCGTACCGTCCTGAATCTTAGACACTTTCCGGCTTAGTTCCCTCAGAATTTCACCTCTCCACCGCTCGCACTCCCTAAGACTTTTGCAGGCGCTCGCCATTTTTGGACGACGATCTGCGCGCGTCCCAAGGCCAAGCTCAGCTGCTTGAGCTTCTCGGAACCGGTATAGCATCGACTGTGCTTTTTCTTCATTGCGGGCCTAATTAGTTATAAAACGACAATTAGTAGAATGTATAGAAAATTCGTCTTTGTACGTACCATGGTCTGATATAGAGCAGTAGGTGAGTTCGCTTTTACCTTCCGCTTTCACTTTCAAAGTTCGAAGATAGCACAGCCACCCCGAAGAACACCTGACGGCGGCACATGAACATTTGGCAATGACCAAGTCCCCTCATCTCGCCAGTCATCGCATGTCTGTGTACCGCTCTCCCATGATTAATCTGACTGAGCTGTCCGATGAAAGCATGGTAGCTAAATAATGAACCCCAGCGAGCCGATTTGGTACGAGCGCTGATCACGATTTACTAGTACTGAAGTTCTCTTCTCCCTCAGCTTGAGTCCTAAGTATGATATCTTTTATAATCCTTGATCATATTTGCCATGCAGACATATCTTACCCCCCAATATACTGAAGCCATTTGCTTGAATGGGAAACATCCTTGATGAGGTTGTAATTCAGACTGGAATGATGCATCTGAGACATCCGAGACCACTGGTCACGCTGATGTGGAGTTCATCTTTTAGCTACCGGTACGACATACTGTCCTACTTGCTCCTATATTCTATCCTCCAGCAATCCTGTGCAATCTCGTAGCTGGCTACCATGATCGTTCAATTTGACACCTGCCAACCTCCAGTCTTTATCTCTTCCCCAAACCATGACATCAATGCTCAGGAAGCACAGGAAGCTTTTTTGCGATATGCCGCAAATCAATGGGTGAGATGTCCCACGGAACTTTCCATGACTCCTCACTTATTATCTTTAGGCGGAACTAAAGGCTAGATTCCTTTTAGTTAATGCAGAAGAGATGTCGTGGTCTCCATTATCTCAAATCCGCTACCCCTCAACTCTGAGATCAAGGTATCCTTTGAAGCCACGCTCACAAAATGGGCACTTTTGGACACTCGAGGACAGGATGAAACGTATCCAGACGCGCACCACCCTCCAGCGTAGATATGCTTCGCCAAACCTTTCTCGGCAATCAACAACACCAGACCTCAAAGCTCTTCATGCGCACTATGCTCGCCAGCGCATGCACGGAGAGGCATACGACGAATACGAGTGCAGAGATTCTAGTCCAAAGCGCAAGCGAGCTATCACTGGCATTCGCGATGGGGATAAAACCTCCCAGGAAATGTTGCCCTTCGTGAGGCCTCGACACTCATACCAGCGCAGCTACAATGAACGACAGCCACAATGGTCGTTAGGTGTCCAGGTTTTAGTGGATTCCCATATCGACGCTATAGTGGACCATGAGATGGCAGACTTCAAGGATGAATCTTGTTTTCAGTCCAATGCAACTCCAGGCTTTTCGATCGGTGCAGATAACACTTCCATGAAGCACATCATTTATAGCGAATTTGGTGTCCCGAGCATGTTTGAGAGGGGGCTGGCGTCGAAAAAGACGACTGATCCCCGTCCGCGACCTCGTTCTACTAAGGTCGACATTAATACGAGCGCAGCTCAAGAACTTCCATCTGCCCATCACCACCCATGTCGAGCAATGTACGAGGCAGAACCTATTCACCGAAATAAATCTTCAGAGATTGCCCAAGCTTCTGAGCCAATAATGCAAACTACTGCGGACCTGATGAGGGAGATTTTTGGTGATGGAGAAGTTGACGACGTGGATAGTGTCTTACCTATGATTAAATCCATGAATATCATGTGAACGAGCTGTTTCTACCTTGTAGATATTTTTATGAAATGGAGATGTTCATGAGAACCGATCGAGCTTTCATCAAGCAATTCATGGCTGTAAAGGAGGCTTGAACATATTCGAACAAGGCATGAAATCCTTAGTTACCATGATGTAAAACAGGTTTGCTGCGTGAAATACTAGTTTTAGGCTATATCCTCCGCAGAAGCCCCTCAAACCGGTCTCAGGCTTAATGCAAACTGATGCAGCCCATATGTATCGCGGGAGCTTTACGGAAGACTAGCCTAGACCCTGAACATCAAGGAGTAAAAATACAATGCCAACTTCAAGGCGCATTGCTGATGCGGCGAGTTACACGTTAAAGTCTAGTGTCTGTCATCGATCCTGGTCCATATGTGATGGGTCGATTTGTTGTAGTAAACGTGACTCCTCGAAAATCAGGCAGAAGTGCCAGTGGATTCAACGGAATGAACGTTCTGGCTGTTGTGAACGCCAAAGTCCACGTTTGCTGTATGAAACATGAGGCGCCTAGATTGCATTTACAGGAGCTGGCCCCTAGGATGGCGGCCCAATCAACGTTCGGTTCTCACCGTGGGGCTATTCCGTACGTAATGCCATTGATTGTAAATGGCAGATGCCAGCCCTGAACGCATGCAATATACCATGTAGTCCATGCGCTGGTAACACCGACTCAGACATAGCCCTGATACATTCTAGGATGCTTTGGACTTGCCAACCAGTGGAATGTTTGCCGCAGCAACGTGGCTGGTCAACGAATGATGGCATCTGCGGATGAATGTTTGGTACATGATATATAATATTGCGCCTGGCATGCTCAACTTGAATACTCCTCTGCTGCATATTGCCTCATCGTAATGAGTGTCATTCAAGTGTGAGTCGCGCATTCATAGATCGGCACCATGTATTTTGACAGCTGATAGCGACTAGTACTGCCAGGTTGTTGTCCTACTCCAACTACACCATGCTGGTGCCAAATGGTATTAGGATTTTTATCTTTGCTATAAGGAACTTAACACCACGATCTACTAGTCATCCTGATATACGACCATATGGCGACCCTCACAGAAGAAATCGTTTTTATTTGGTGTCGTCCGAAGGCGTTATCTTCAGCGTTGTTTCTGCTCAATCGTTATGTCGCTCTGCTGGCAAATGCCTATGCCTTGATTGGGAATTTCCTGCCTGCCTCAGCTGAGGTGCTACATTTCATCATACATGTCTTTACATGGCAGGCTCACGATTTTTTTTTGCAGAGGTTTGATCCTGGTTCTCGAATGTCTGTCCATCTGCTTAACAAAAACTTAGCTGTCCGACATACACGCTATCACAACAAGTGCTCGTTTTTTTTCAAGCATTTATCATTTGCCGTGAGTGGATCGTTTATTTTGAGAATTCATTTACTGAAATTTTTAAGTCATATTGAGTCTTCGCATTTATGCTCTCTACGGCCGTAGCAAACGCTTACTTGCTTTGTTGATAATTATCATCCTTGCCTTTGTGGGAGGAGCTTCTGTGTCTGTGCGTGTTTGCATAAGATGTTTGACTATGGAGTCGACTGATCGTTTCTAGACAGAGGCATTTGGTCGTTATCCAAGCACCGTGACTATCTTGCCAGGAGGATACTGTTATCAAACATATACAGCAGAGAGGTACATCTTCTTCTTCATGATTCTACCCGCCTGCTCAAACTTGAACGTTGTCGCAGAACCATTAGTCAGTGAACTCTAAACATATTTGCATGTAGCTTGATGCCATGGCTTTATTCAGTTGCAGGCCTCGGAATCCCATGGGTGGCCTTATTTTTCTATGAACTTCTCATCTTCGTCCTCACAGTGACTAGGATTTTTAAAATCAGGAGATTACTGCGGTTATCTCTGATGAGGTCCAGAAGGAATATCATCTCTGTCATGTTTCAGGACGGTGAGTGTTTTGCTACATCAGTATCGTAAACACTGAACCAACAGGATGCAGGTGTGATGTACTTCGGGTGAGATTGCTACTTAGGTCGTGATTCAAGCCAATCTGACCCCTATCGCTTAAGAGTGATGACACTGTTCAATATACCGAACATCCTGACATACTACGTAAGTCAAGAGATGAATTATTGGTTGGGTCGCGCACTCACAGCTTCAATGATTCAGTGTTATCCAGTGAGCACACCAACCTGCACAATATATCTATGATGACTATTTACGAGTGATCGGCAAGGATATCATCATGGGCTCTCTGAGCACATTTACTAGCTGGTGAGTGGCTGGTGCGATATACATGGGTAAAGTCTGACTGCCCTCGGAATAGCATGTCTGTTACTCTAATCTCGCGGCTGATGCTTAACCTGCACAAGTCGATTGATGCTGGCATTCTCTCCACCCCCACCCAAGACGATGACTTCCCTGTCCTTAACACTATAATTGACCTACAATCCACGAATTCCTCTCACTATTGGTAGGCTGGGGCTGGATGCTAAAATGCGGGTATTCTTGTTGGAAGTGCAAAGCTAGTTTTAATACTTTCATTTCGGTGCAGTGCCCTATGTAAAAAAAATTGTGTTCCTAGTGGCAGGTATAGGAGCAAGGAACATGCTCAAAACGCAGGTTCTGGGAAGACGCTTATAAAACTATTTCGAATTTCCACTAGTTATTCACTGTTTGATCTCTCTCGTGCAAATTACCATCTCAAAACTACCACTTCAACAGGGTCCCATTGATCGGCGCATCAGATGGTGCAGAGTAGAAGAGGAAGGCTTCTTTCCTATAGAAGACCGCAGCGGTGATATGTGATGTAGAGACTGCGTCTGGATCCTGCGACTAGGTCCGAGTCTAGCGCTGCCGAGTGAATACGCGAAATCAAAACCTCCTCTCCTAGCTTGTTTCAACGAGTGGTATTTATCAAGGGGCTTGCGATCCTGCCTCCATCCAAAGGACAGGAACAAGGCTTGCACAAATAATTAATATCATATATGCAGGATCAATCTGTCTTTTACGTTGCTGTTCTCAACTCTCATGTATTCGTCGTCTCCGCTTCCGGATCCTACACTTCCATGGCATCAGACGAGAGAATAACAATGTCGCTTTCATCATCCCCTCTAACCTGAGTAATATGTCAGGGCGGCTCGTACATGTCGACAGGGCAACATCAACGGCATGAGAGTAAATGTCTATTAGATTATCACCGCCGTGAAGCACGCGCACTCCTCGCGCGCTGGTTTTCAAACTGTTGTTTGATGACCGCGTAGCCTTCCCGGTCAACTCGATGTAGATAATACGAGCCACCTCCACTGCCCCATGAAACACCGCCAGAGCGGTAGGGCCGCTCAATTACATCAAAGATCGCGCTTATATCATCCACCTACGAGATTCATGAGATAAGTGTGAAGTGGATGTATATCATCACTCACGTTACGTTCAGTGACGCGTGCATTGAGGGAAGAGACAAACGGCTTCAAGGAGACAACAATGGCGCCTTCTTTTAAATCTAGAAACCGCGGACGTAAAGCCTCGTTTACTGTTACGTGATCAATATGCTTGTCACAAACAAAAGAAATGCACTGACACGACTGCTGGAACACCTTATTATTGACCAGTACAACATCTGCCTGAGGTAGCAACTCAGTCACTCTCTGACTGGTCAGCATGTCTCCTTCCTCTAGTTCCACCTCTCCCATCGACAGTCCCCACATCCTACAACGCTTCTTCATCTGCCTCAGCTGCTCTCTCCCCACCTCCGCAGGCGTAGGCATGATCTCAATTCCATAGCTTCTGCAGCACGTTTCTAAGCTCGCCTGCACCAGCACATTTCCAACGCCACACCCTAAATCCATAAATAAGGAATCCTTGTGGAGACGTGTGGCGGCGATGATATCCGACGTGAATGAGGGCATCAATTCGCCATACACCTCGCTCGAAAATGCTTCGTAACGATTTAACTTCAGAGCATGTGGGCCTACGGAACGTTGATACGTCTCGTCGATTATGCGCATGAGAACCCGATTAGGGATTTCGTTTGATGGCCAACCTTTGATGGCCTCTATAAGTACATTAGGAGGTGCAGGTGCAAACGGGTCAGATGGGAGTGATGGGTATTTCAGCGCACGGAGGAGCTGGTTAATGTTTTGTATCGTAGAAAGGAACAGTGGACCGTCACGCCGTCGGATGGAACGTTGGAGGATACGCAAGTGGTTCACTCCACGAGGGTCATACGAAGGGAATTTTTCAGGACTTGACTGTTCTGAATCACCCGAAAGCTGTGTGAGTGGTGAGGACGGCGGCGTATTATCGACATCCTGTAGAAAATCTGTGGGTAATGTTCCAAATAACGCTTGCTGCGGGGGCGTAAGGTAGCCTGGTATTGCATCAGAATCCGTGCTCACAACTGACGACGGTAGTAACGCACATTCGAAAATAGTATATAATGATTGTTCTAGGCACATGATGGGGTTGTAGTGATCTGGGTCCTTGGGAGCCAATAAATAATAGCTACACGTGAGGTAGATCAGCAAGAAATAGTATAAGTCACCGCACAACACGCACGTCTCACAGGCATTAACATTAGGATACTCGAGTTCAGTGGCAGGATAAGATTCAGCTTCAAATGACGTGTCGCTGGGATCGTCCAAATTCTTGAAATCTGCAATGAGTATAAATTCGAATGAGATGTGCATGTGATACATGGATTCTCACAAGTTTTGTATGATCGCGATAATATCGTTACTACAGACGCGGCACTGACAAAGTTCTCACCTGGCGAACCATCCTCAGCGATCCACAGCTGTCGGTGAGGGAGATCAGCTGCAGGAAAGGTTGATGTTGACCGAGAACGACTGCTTCGATATATAGACTCAATATCGAGAGTTTCGGAACGTTGTCGACTTTGAGTACGCGACGAAGACGCGCTCATAGTCGCGCGTTTCCTCGACTTCGGGGGGCGTAATGTTGGCTCGGGTGCGACTGACAATATTCTAGGTCGTTTTGAAGGGCCTGCTATATGTACAAAGTGAGCTGGATCATCTGCTTCTGGCGATGTCTCGGCAGAAACTGGGGTAGGGGGTGATAGGTGTGCCTGTGAACCTGCAGCCTCCTGTTCACGTATCATCTGTGACTTCCAGGCGCGGCGTGTAGTAACACATATGTCTGGGACCATTTGCTGTATTTTTTTCGAAGAGTTTTCAAATGAAAAGTAATGAAAGTCTGAATACGGGGAGGAAGGAAGGGTAGATGAGAGCATTAGAGCAAGTCAATGAAATCCTTAAAACCTACAAATGGAACTAGTAATCTTGTCGGTGGCGGTGCCATAACACCGCTTTCGGTAATTACCAATCTCTTTTTTCCCGGACTATTCGTTCAAAAACTTTGCCCAGTGGACGACTTTGTTACTTGTATCATGTCTGTCAGCTATGTATGGCTCCGTTACAATCAACTGATGCTACACAAGCCCGAATGAGATACAATCAAGACTTGCTGAACACTGGGCCATTGTTCATCGCTTTTCTTTTGCTCCCTACGCCCACTGGATCTAGCTGCCACAGCGCTCCAATATTTTATTGTCTTTGTATGCAGATGCAATATACAAAGGTTTCGTCACCAGAACTACTGAATGCAGCATCGTGATTGAGATGCATGCTCCTTCGAACCCACTTCTCTAAACGCTGAAGAATACAGCGTACACGCCCCATGCGGCTCTGGCTGTATCTCCGTGAATATGATGTGTAGTTGAAAGCTGTTCAAGCTTTCCTTGCTCCTCCGCCACAGTTGGTTTTTCCGACCCGCCTGCCCTGTCCCAAAGAAGCATAGCATTGATATGTCCTGACGTTATGTACCATCACAATGGTGTTGATCCTGGGGTAAGTGCGTTCGTGACTACTTGAAACGTTGCTGCCCTGTCGTGTTTCAGTCGTATATGACAATACGTAGCGCCGCCCCGACGAAGTCGAACTTTACCCGTGGTCGCAATCCGGATGTACTTTCCATCGACCACTATGCCTTGTGCCTCGAAGTCGTTTAATAGGGACGTTCAAAGTGGGGCACACGTTGTACACCGCATACCACTACTAAGGTAGCAGCCGTGCTTGTGATGCTGTGTACTAAGCATGTACCGAGCTTTGCCGAACGATACCAAACCCATCCATATGCATTCCTACTTGCCTGCGCTTGTCCCTGCTCATTAGCATCTGTACTCATTATCACCTGCTGCCGCTCATTTTTCGTTCGCGCTTGCTGCTACTTGTTGCAGATTGTCTGCACGTGCCCCGCACACTTTTGCTTCGTTCTGTTGACATAGATTCTATTGATGTTCAGGTCCTACACATCATTTTGTGAACATGGCCACGGTGAGCTCCAGTGGAGAATTACGCACTGGCATCTCGGGCTATTGAGCGCAGGACGGTAGGGATCAGCTTGTCCATATATATCAATAGGTGTGTGGGAAATCTTCTGATGTTCGAATAGCGGATATATTCTGGGATCGAGATAAGGAATGTGAATTCACTGATGCAGTCGTACCGCACCTCATTTGTGTCTACAAAGTGGACAAATGGGAAGAAGAGTTTGGGGAATCTGGACGACAAGACAAATCTGCACACAGTGATAACACTGATGAAAGACGTCATACAAGGATTTTGCGTGACTGCAGAGTCATTCCAATTAGGCATGTATGACCGCCGCCAAAGCGTGTAAAGTTTTCCTGGCGCTATCAGGAACACCATTCCTAGGCCTCAACTGCTGATCTCCCGGTATCCGGTTTCGCGTTTCTCATGCATAATGGTATTTTGAATGTCTCCTAGTATACATGAGATCCTTGGATCACCATGGTGTCACGTATCGTAGGTCAGGTACAACAAGAATCGGGTTGAAATTACACATTGCCAGCATTTCCTAATGTTCTGCTTCCAAGAAAATTGTTGCCGGGATAGAGGAGACTCAATATGAGGTCTGCTGGCATTAATGTGGTGGATCGTCTGTTTAAAAAAAGTATTTCAGCTTTCAGGTCGACATGTTTTGCACAAAACACTATTCAGGATATAAAAGCAAGCAGTCTTCATACTGTCCCCTTCTAAATTGGTTTGAAATCCCATCTCACAGATAATGCGTTTCTCCTTCGTCCTCACCGTTGTTGCCGCTTTCAAGCTGACAGTGTTAGTGTCTCATGTCAGCGCTCATGCTGATAGTCAACTTGATTGTCCCTTCTTCTGCAACTTCACTTCTGATTGCTGCGCTGGTGATACATGTCAGCCAGTAGTATATGATCGCCAGGTGAGTATGAGTAATTTTCATCTTTATAACCTCGTGACTCACTGGCCTGAAAGGGCGATATCTATTATCTGTGTGAGGCATCTTCGTGACAGTGGGTCATGTTTCTGCTTTGGCATCGGTGTGATATGGTTGACGCCCCGACGCATAGGTAGTTCTTGAGTACTCCGTTGCTGGGCGCTCGGTCGTCACGGTGAACAAACAAGTTCACCTTGTTCGGACATTGAAGA